ATAACTGTACAAAGTTTATTTTTCATATGTTTTACGAGCGCTGATTGTATACCATTCTGTAAACTTGCATATATCTTTTTTTTTCTTTTCTGTTTTTTTTTGGGGGTGGGGGTGGTTCCCCCCCCCCTCTGGTGTCGGTTTTGTTTTCTGTATCCACCATAAACCAATAAAAATATTTTTTTTAAAAAGAAGCCTTGAGTGAGGATGCTGTATTTTGGGGAGGTCTAGAAATCCTTTTAACCTCCCTCAGGTTTTTCCCCCCATTTTAACCCTGTTCTTAAAGATGAAAAGGGTCGTTTGATGGATGAATCTATATTAATATATAAGCCTTAAAGTGCCAGTTTGAATAGGAGTAAAAGTGCAACAGCTCTTAGTCTGCAATCTTTTGCTCCAAAATCTAATGATACATTCTAATACTAAGAGTAAATACATAGGCGCTTTATTGCTTTGTTTCTGGGAGCCTTCTCCCTGTCTGTTTCTCCTGGCCAACTCTTCCCTTGATCTCTTCTTCTTCTTCATACTCCTGCTACTGACTCATCCAATGAAGCCAGGCCCATGTCCCCTTGGGAAGCAATGGAGGCGGCACCTTCTCCTCCGTGTCCAGGCGGTAAGGCACGGGCTGGACTCTCCTCCGCTTCAGGGAGGGGGCGGCGGGGACCACGAAGCTGGGCAGGCCCAGGGCGCCGGCCAGGCAGAAGCCCCACACGAAGACCCGGCCCTTCCGCCGCGCCTGCCGCCCCACGAACGCGAACACCGGCGCCGCCTCCTCGGCCTCGCGCCGCGCCCTCACGCTCCCCGCCTTCGCCGCTTGGGCCAGGCCGCGGCAGAGGGAGACCCCGAGGGGAACCCGCAGGGGTTCCACACAGCCCCACAGCCCCGCCATGGCCCTCAACAGGCTCGCTTGCGGCATAAACACGGCCCCACCCTGGGCGGCGCCATCTTGTTGCCCTTTTGGCGCGTGCGCACGTCGTGTTTCCTCTCTCTGGGCTTTCCGCGCCTGCGCACTCCTTGTCTCGCGCCTCTCACGGCCTTGGCTTCTGCGCCTGCGCACGACTCGGCTTGCCCGTCCTTTTGTGCCTGTTCACGCCTTGTCTCTCGCCTTTGCGCCTGCGCACTTTGTCTCTCGCCTTTCACTGCCTTAGCCTCTGCGCCTGCGCACGCCTTGTTTCCTCTAGGCTTGCGCATCCGTTTTCTGCGCGTGCGCACTCCTTGTCTACTCGCCTTTCAGGAATCTTAGCTTCTGCGCTTGCGCACGTCTTATTATAGTGATGTAATATAATATTTATTATTTATTTACTGGCTGAGGCTTCTGGGAAATTGAGTCCCAAACTCCCAAAGGGCTAAAAGATCTCTTCACTCTTGTGGCCCTCTAGGCTTTGGGACTCCACTTCCCAGAATTCTTGGCCATTGGATAAGCTGGCTGAGACTTCTGGAAAATTAAGTCCCAAACCTCAAAGGGCTAAAAAGCCTTTTCAGCCTTGTGGCCCTCTTTTGAATCCCTTTATTATTTATTTATTTATGGCATTTATATGCCGCCCTTCTCACCCCGAATGGGACTCAGAGCGGCTTACAAGATGTATATATACATACAATATATTATATTATTAGCATAGTACAATATCAATATTAAATATTACTATATTGTACTATACCATTATATTGTAATATTATTAGTAATATTACATTTAATATAAAATATAAAAGATGGATGATATCCTTGAAGTGATTGGATTGACCTTGAAGGAGCTGGGGGTGGTGACGGCCGACAGGAAGCTCTTACTTACTTAGGCGATCCCTTGTTGGCCGAGTAGGATAGTTTTCCAGGTTCAGTCTTCTGGTGGGTCTGTAGGTGACTGTGGAGCCCTATTCTTGACCTGCATCTTCTCCCACAGTGAGGGAATTGGTTTCCAGGTGGAAGGCGGTCTCGGTCAGGGTTGGCTTGACATGCCTTCCTCTTGGCACGTTTCTCTCTTTCACCCTCCATTCATGCCTCTTCAAATTCTGCAGCACTGCTGGTCACAGCTGACCTCCAGCTGGAGCGCTCAAGGGCCAGGGCTTCCCAGTTCTCAGTGTCTATGCCAGAGTTTATAATGTTGGCTTTGAGCCCATCATTCAATCTCTTTTCCTGTCCACCAACATTCCATTTTCCATTCTTGAGTTCGGAGTAGAGCAACTGCTTTGGGAGACTGTGGTCAGACATCCGGCACAAGTGGCCAGTCCAGTGGAGTTGATGGACCATCGCTTCAATGCTGGTGGTCTTTGCTTCTTCCAGCACGCTGACATTTTCTGCTTGTCTACCCAAGATTTGCAGGCAGCGCTGATGGAATCGTTCCAGGAGTTGCATGTGATGTCTGTAGACAGTCCACATTTCGCAGGCATATAGCAGGTTTGGGAGGACAATAGCTTTATAAACAAGCACCTTGGTATCCCTACGGATGTCCCGGTCCTCAAACACTCTCTGCTTCATTCAGAAAAATGCTGCACTCGCAGAGCTCAGGCAGTGTTGTATTTCAGTGTCGATGTTGACTTTTGTGGAAAGGTGGCTGCTAAGGAAGTGGAAATGGTCAGTGTTTTCTAATGTTACACCATTAAGCTGTATCTCTGGCACTGGAGAGAGATTGGCTGGTGACTGCTGAAGAGCACTTTGGTTTTCTCAGTGTTCGATGACAGGCCGAGCTTCTCGTATGCTTCTGCAACAGTGTTTAGAATGGCTTGTAGATCTAAACAACTCTGGCGTGGGCTAGTCCATGAGGTCACGAAGAGTCAGAAACAACTGAGCGAATGAACAACAACATAAAATATATAATTATAATTTCATATTATTATTAATACTATTGTATTACAATATATTACATTACCTTACATTATTAAGGGCATGACTGCATCTCAGTATACGAACCCACACGATCTCCCTGATCATCTGGAGAGGCTCTGCTCACGATCCCACCTACGTCGCAAGCGCGGTTTGGGGGGGAAGAGGGACAGGGCCTTCTCTGTGGTAGCCCCCCGACTCTGGAACTCTCTCCCCAAGGACATCAGACAAGTCCCAACGCTGGCAGTCTCCAGGAAGAGCTTGAAGATGTGGCTGTTCCAGTGTGCCTTTCCAGAATAGGAAGCTCCTATATCCACATGTCCCAAATGCACTTTACTAGAGATTTAAGATTGTCTGCACATTGCACCTACCTCTAAAAACCTATACATTTTACCTGTCATGTCCAGCACTTTTAAATTTTATTCATTACATTTGGCCCGGCCTTTGTTTTAAATGCGTCATGGTGTTATTGTTTTTAATGTTTATTGTTACTGCTTTAATTTTTTGTTTTGCTTTATGAGTATTATTGTTGTATTTGTTATGCTGTGTTTTATTGAGGGCCTTGGTCTTTTGTAAGCCGCAACGAGTCCTTCGGGAGATGTTAGCAGGGTATAAATAAAGTTAATAAATAAATAATTAGAATAGCACAGAAGACAATATTCCAATATACTGTGCTGTATATCATAAGTATGTGTCTTTAACGGTGCTATGACCTGTTATTTTTATAATAATAATGTTGTTGTTCATTCGTTCAGTCGTCTCCGACTCTTCGTGACCTCATGGACCAGCCTACGCCAGAGCTCCCTGTCGGCCGTTACCACCCCCAGCTCCTTCAAGGTCAGTCCAGTCACTTCAAGGATGACATCCATCCATCTTGCCCTTGGTCGGCCCCTCTTCCTTTTGCCTTCCACTTTCCCCAGCATAATTGTCTTCTCTAGGCTTTGCTGTCTCCTCATGATGTGGCCAAAGTACTTCAACTTTGTCTCTAGTATCGTCTCCCTCCAGTGAGCAGTCGGGCTTTATTTCCTGGAGGATGGACTGGTTGGATCTTCTCGCAGTCCAAGGCACTCTCAGCACTTTCCTCCAACACCACAGCTCAAAAGCATCGATCTTCCTTCGCTCAGCCTTCCCGAAGGTCCAGCTCTCACATCCGTAGGTGACTACAGGGAATACCATGGCTTTGACTAGGCGGATCTTTGTTGCCAGTCTGATGTCTCTACTCTTCACTATTTTATCGAGACTGGACATTGCTCTCCTCCCAAGAAGTAAGCGTCTTCTGATTTCCTGGCCACAGTCTGCATCTGCAGTAATCTTTGCACCTAGAAATACAAAGTCTGTCACGGCCTCCACGGTTTCTCCCTCTATTTCCCAGTTGTCAATCATTCTTGCTGCCATAATCTTGGTTTTTTTGATGTTTAGCTGCAACCCGGCTTTTGCGCTTTCTTCTTTCACCTTGATTAGAAGGCTCCTCAGCTCCTCCTCGCTTTCGGCCATCAGAGTGGTGTCATCTGCATATCTGAGGTTGTTAATGTTTCTTCCAGCAATTTTCACCCCAGCTTTGCATTCATCCAGCCCTGCACATCACATGATGTGTTCTGCATACAAGTTAAAAAGGTTGGGTGAGAGGATGCAGCCTTGCCGTACGCCTTTCCCAATCTTGAACCAGTCTGTTGTTCCATGGTCAGTTCTTACTGTTGCTCCTTGGTCCTTGGTCAGATCCCTCAGGAGAGAGGGAAGGGGGCTTGGGATGCCCATCCCACCAAGAACTTGCCACCATTTATTATGATCCACACAGTCAAAGGCTTTAGAATAGTCAATGAAGCAGAAGTAGATGTTTTTCTGAAACTCCCTGCCTTTCTCCATTATCCAGCGGATATTGGCAATCTGGTCTCTCGTTCCTCTGCCTTTTCTAAACCCAGCTTGAACATCTGGCAACTCTCGCTCCATGTCTTGCTGGAGTCTTCCTTGCAGGATCTTGAGCATTACCTTACTGGTAATTATTATTATTATTATTATTATTATAATTAATTATGCTTTCTCTTTTTTGTGTTTGTAGTTCTTTTTCCCTGTGGCCGGCCTCGAACTCGGCATGCTCTCCTCCGCGTCCCCGCCCCCTGCTTCTGCGCAGGCGCTGGCTCAGCCCCGCCCCTTTCCCCGGACGAGGCGCCGCCCTCCTCGCGCGCGTCACTTCCGGGCGGCGAGGCGCGGCGGCCGCCATCTTGGGCGGCTGAGGCGAAGCGCGGAGGCGAGGGGCCTGCCGTGTTCCCGCCCGCGTCCGGCCATGGCGGGGCAGTTCGACGCGGAGGACCAGGGCGGGTGGTACTGGGGGCGGCTGAGCCGGGCGGAGGCGGTAGCGCTGCTCCAGGGACAGCGCCACGGCACCTTCCTCGTCCGCGACTCCGGCACCATCCCGGGCGACTTCGTCCTCTCCGTCTCCGAGAGCTCCCGCGTCTCCCACTACATCGTCAACAGCCAAGCCGGAGGGGGCGGGCCTCCGGGTGAGCCACGCCCCTCGCCACGCCTCCCGCCCTGCCCTGTGGGAATGGGCGCCTCCTGCCTAGGCCTGCTTCTCACGGGTGGCAGCCTTGTCCTCACCCCGTCCTCCTTCCTGGCACGGGCGGGCGGGGTGGGTGGCCTCTGGAAGTCCCTCCAACTCTTAATCTGAGCATAATAATAATAACATAGTGATATAGTCTGCTTCCTGGCAGAAGGGGGCGGGACTAGGTGGCCTTGGGGGTCACTTCCGGCTCCAGGACTCTGGTCACCATCATCCCAGAATCATATTTCTATCAGCATGGGATAGTTAATACTATCCTGCTTGGCCGAAGGGACTGGGTGGCCTTTAGAAGCCTAATGTATATAATGTAATATAATATATTGTATATACATATAATATTATAATGTAATAAAATATAATAACTGTATTGTCGAAGGCTTTCATGGCTGGAATCACTAGGTTCTTGTAGGTTTTTTCCGGCTATAGGGCCATGTTCTAGAGGCATTTCTCCTGACGTTTCGCCTGCATCTATGGCAAGCATCCTCAGAGGTAGTGAGGTCTGTTGGAAGTAGGAAAAAATGGGTTTATATATCTGTGGAATGGCTGGGGTGGGGCACAGAGCTCTCTAAAATTACAACAGCAAAACAGCAGAGAGGAAACAATCAGGCACATCTTAACACCTCTCAACAAAAGATTTTCCCAGGCTCAGGCCAGGCCTTCAAATGCTAATGAAGGTGGTCAGTTGAAACATTCACACCTAGCTTCAGCAGAGAGCTCTTTGCCCCACCCCAGTCATTCCACAGATATATAAACCCATTTTACTATTTCCAACAGACCTCACTACCTCTGAGGATGCTTGCCATAGATGCAGGCGAAACGTCAGGAGAAATGCCTCTAGAACATGGCCCCATAGCCCGAAAAAACGTACAAGAATGTAATATTACTAATTATATTACAGTATAATGGTATAGAACAATATATTGTACTATATACAATATAATAACTAAAATAATATTATATTATAATTATATATATTTATATGACATGTACTATTACTAATTATATTACAATATAATGGTATAGTACAATATAGTAATATATAATACTGATATTGTACTATGTTAATAATAATATGCTAATAATTGGAGCCACCAGTGGCACAGTGGGTTAAAGCGCTGAGCTGCTGAGCTTGTTGATCAAAAGGATACAGGTTCGATTCTGGGGAATGGTGTGAGCTTCTGCCTGCCTAGCAGTTCAAAAACATGCAAATGTGAGTAGATCAATAGGGGGAAGGTAATGGCGCTCCATGCAGTCATGCCAGCCACATAATGGTATAATTAATTATATCTACCTATTTGGCAGAAGGGGGTGTGACTGGACGGTCTTTAGAAGCCCCATCCAGCCCTTAAGTCTGATAGTGAGGATGATTGATAATACTAATAATATGATGATTAATAATAATAATAATATAGTAATATACTAATTCTATCTTCCTTCCTGGCAGAAAGAGTGGGACTAGGTGGCCTTTGGGGTCACTTCATAATCACAATCCCATGATCATGTTTGCATCATAATGGGATCGTTAATTCTATTCTGCTTGGCAGAAAGGCGTGGGACTGGGTGACCTTTAGAAGCCCCTTCCAACTCTATGAGTAATAATAATAACAATAACAATAATGTAACTTCCTGGCAGACAAAGGTTGGACTGGGTGGCCTTTAGAAGTGCCTTCCAACTCTGATAATAATTGCATAACAATAATAATAGTAATTATAATATAGTAATTCTGTCATCCCTCCTGGCAGAAGGTTGGACTTGGTGGCCTTTAGAAGTCCCTTCCAACTCTGTGAGTCTAATAGTAATAATAATACTTTAGTCATTCCATCTTCCTTTCTGGCGGGGGGGGGGGGGGCTCTAGGAGTCTGATAATCATAATCCTATGATCATATTTGCATCATAATGGGATAGTTAATTCTATCTTCCCACTTGGCAGAAGGGGCTGGGACTGGTTTGCCTTTAGAAGCCACTTCCAACTCTTGAGTCTAATAGTAATAATAATAGTAATAATAATGTAATGCTGTCTTCCTTCCTGGGAGAAGAGGGTTGGACTGGGTGGCCTTTGGAAGTCCCTTCTAACTCTCTGGAAGCATAATAATAATTGCATAATAATAATATAGTAATTCTATTTTCTCTCCTGGCAGAAGGGAGGAGGACTGGGTGGCCTTTAGAAGTACATTCTAACTTGAGTCTTTCTAATCATCATCGTCATATAGTAATTCTGCCTTCCTTTCTGGCAGAAGGAGGTGGGACTAGGTGGCCTTGGGGGTCACTTACAGCTCTAGGGCTCTGGTCACCATTATCCCAGGATCATATGCATCATAACAGAATAGTTAATTCTTTTCTCCTATTAGGCAGAAGGGGGTTGGATCATATGTGTCATAACAGAATAAATAATGATGATGATGATGATGATAATAATAATAATATAGTAATTCTGTCTTCCTTCCTGGCCAAAGGGGGATGGACTGGATAGCCTCAACTTTTGAGTCTGATAATTATTGAATAATAATAACCATAATATAATTCTATCTTCCTGTAGATAGAAGGGGGTTGGACTGAGTGGCCGTTAGACGTCCCTTCCAACTCTGAGTATGATAATAATTGCATAATAATAATAATATAGCAATTCTGTCTTCCTGTTTGACAGAAGGAGGTTCGACTGTATGCTCTTTAGAAGCCCCTTCCAACTCTTGAGTCTATCTAATAATAATAATAATAATAATAATAATAATAATAATAATAATAATAATAATGTAATTCTATCTTCCTTCCTGGCAGAAGTGGGTTGGACTGGGTGGCCTTTTGAAATCCCTTTCAACTCTGTGAGTGTGATAATAATACTTACATAATAATAATGGATACAAATAATATAGTAATTCTATCTTCTTGCCCGGCAGAAGGAAGTTGGCCTGGGTGGGCTTTAGAAACTTGGGGTCCTTTCCAAATCTAGGATTCTATGATTCTATCCCTGTTGTGCCATTCAAACCTTTCTGCTTGCGTGTGTATGTTCTGTATCTCTATGTCATTGCATTATCCTGGCTTATGCAGCTTCAGTTTTATGGAGTTGACAGAATGCAGACAGGAAACTGTTTTCTCCCAAAGAGTAGGTTGATGAAAAAGTGTTTGTCCAGGAGGCACCCACAGTAGCTCTGTGTATCTTGTTGTTTGTGTTTTAGTTGTGTTCTATCTCTTGTTTTAATGATGTTGAAGCCCGCCTCAAGCTACATAGAGAGGCGGGTAATACAATATTACTGTTGTTGTTGTTAACAAAGCTCCATGCAGTCATGCCAGCCACATGACTTTGGAGGTGTCTACGGACAATGCCGGCTCTTTGACTTAGAAATGGAGAGGAGAACCAACCCCCAGAGTCGGACATGACTGGACTTAATGTCAGCAGAAAACCTTTACCTATTATTATTATTATTATTATTATTATTATTATTATTATTATTTGATACACAACAAGATTGATAAACAAGATCACTATGCTGGCTTTTGTAATCCTGTACAACCCCGTGCCAAGAAGTCGAACACTTCTCAAGTGTCCAGGACTGTGATGTATCTGCAAATAATGTGTGCAGGTCCAAGCAGACTGGCCTTTTGCAGCTGACAGGTGGTGATTTTGTCAGCGTCTATTGTTTTTAAGTGCAGGCCAAGGTCTTGAGGCACTGCACCCAGTATGCTGATCACCACTGGGACCCTCTTGACTGGCTTGTACTAGAGTTTGCAGTTCGATCTTTCAATCCTCATGTCGTGTCAGCTTTTCCAGTTGCTGTCGCCCTGGGATTGCAACATCGACAATCCATACTTTGTTTTTTTCTGTCTTCCTTATTATTGTATTATTATTAATAATAATAAGCCCCTTCCTGCTTCCTAGACTAACACGCCGCCTTTCCATCTCTTTTCCTGCTTCTTTCCTCTCCTAGGCCTGAACCCTTCCCGATTCCGGATTGGGGACCAGGAGTTTGACTCCCTGCCGTCTCTGCTGGAGTTCTACAAGATCCACTACCTGGACACTACCACCCTGATCGAGCCGGTCTCCAAGGCCAAGCACCGCGGGAGCGGAGACCTGCAGCAGCCGAGAGCCGAGGAGGAAGCGGAGTTCGTTCGCGCCCTCTTTGACTTTCAGGGCAACGACGAGGAAGACCTGCCCTTCAAGAAGGGGGACATCCTGCGGATCCGGGAGAAGCCCGAGGAGCAGTGGTGGAATGCGGAGGACGGCGAGGGCCGGCGAGGCATGATCCCGGTGCCCTATGTGGAGAAGTGCCGCCCGGCCCCTCACCCCATCGTAGGTGGGGCCCCGGAGGGCGGCTCGGCCCCACAGATGCAGCCGCCATTGCCCCCTCTGGGAGGGATGGAGCCCGGTCCGTACGCCCAGCCCAGCGTCGTCAACACCCCGCTCCCCAACCTCCAGAACGGCCCCATTTTCGCCCGGGTGATCCAGAAGCGGGTCCCCAACGCCTATGACAAGACAGCCCTGGCTTTGGAGGTACTTTGGTCTCTTCCAGGTCTATCGTTCCTTATGTTGATGATTATCTCCATTTTCATGGAATGGCCCTTGTGCTCTCTTCCAACTCTGAGTCTATATTATGATAATGACGACAACGAATGACTGGCCCTTTTAGTCTGTCTATTATTATTATTCCTCAATAATAATAATAATAATGATAATGATAATTTATTTATATACCACCCTCTCTCCCCAAAGGGGCTTAGTGACAGAAGGGAGTCTTACTGAATGGCCCTTGCAACTCTAGAATTCTATTATTACTATTATTTTTGTTGTTCTTATTATTATTATTACAACACAGGGGCTGAATGGCCTCCTGTCAGGAGGGATCGGATGGTGTCCTTCTCAATGGCAAAAGCGGAGGTTGTACTAGAGGCCCATCTTTGGGTGTGTCTTCCAGCTCTAGGATTCAATTATTATCATCATTATCATTATTATTAATATTATTATTAGGTAGGGGCTAGATGGCCTTCTGTCAAGAAGGATTAGGTGGTGTCCTTAATGTCAGAAAGAGGGTGGACAATCTTTGGGTTCTTTTCCAACTCTAGGATTCTATTAGGGTTATTATTATTATTATTATTAAGCAGGTGGATGGCCCTCTGTCGGGAGGGATCGGATGGTGACCTTAATGGCAGAAGGGAGGTGGACTGTAGGCCTGTCTTTGGGGGTCTCTTCCAGCTCTAGGATTCTATTATTATTATTGTTATTATTACTATTATTATTACTGTTATTATTAAGCAGGGGTTGGATGGCCCTCTGTGAGGAGGGATTGGGTTGTGTCCTTAATGGCAAAAGGAGGGTGGACTACAGGCCCATCTTTGGGGGTCTCCTCCAGCTCTAGGATTCTATTATAATTAAACAGGAGCTGGATGGCCCTCTGTCAGGAGGGATTGGATGGTGTCTTTAATGGCAGAAGTGGGGTGGACTACAGGCCCATCTTTGGGGGTCTCTTCCAGCTGTATGATTCTGTTATTAGTATTAAGCAGGGGCTGGATGGCCCTCTGTCGGAAGGGATCGGTGATGTCCCGAATGGCAGAAGTAGGGGTCAGACTGGAGGACCACTCTCAGATCCTGTGATGGTGGGGCCGCTCTAATGGTGGGTGTCCCTTTCTCACCCCACAGGTGGGGGAGCTGGTCAAGGTGACCAAGATCAACATGAGCGGCCAGTGGGAAGGCGAGTGCGGGGCCCGGCGGGGCCACTTCCCCTTCACACACGTCCGGCTCCTCGACCAGCAGAACCCCGAGGAGGACTTCAGTTGAGCTTGGTCCAAGCCGGGCTCCATTGAGCCTCCTCCTCCTCCTCCGTTTCGGACGGGCAACACACCCTGCGACGGACGCCATCAAGGAGAGAGAGACTGTCAGAAGACGCAGGCCTCGTTCCCGCAATAACCCCAATCTTGGTGGGCCTGGGACCCCGCAATTCAAGGAGGGTACGACGGAGGGGAGGGGAGCCCCGCCGGCCGCTGCCCAGTCCCCCGCTTTTGAGTCTGGCTCTGCCTTGTCCCTTCCGGGCCATGACTCCTTGTAGAGCGAGTCAACGGCGGGCTTCCCTTGGGCGGAACCACGACCCTTTGAATGTGCCGAGGCCAAATGCAGAAAAGAGGGGGGCCCTGACCGACCCACCGACCTTCGCCTCCGGAACAAGAATGATAGCAAGTAGCCGCATTACCTTCAGAGATATAGCTCTTAATACCTATAACATATGAGTGGGACTCTGGGCCTCCCTCCGTAGACCGATCTCCGTTGCCTTTCTGTCCCTTTTAGCAGGAAGGGGGTTATGGGCCCGGCTTGGAACCCATTACACTCCAGAGCTTCTAACCCTCTCCTTCGGTACTCCCCTCAGCAATGGGAGTACGGCTTTCGTATATCCACCTCTGACAAAATATAATCCTCTCTGGGCCTTGTCTTGGTCCTTGTAGCACGTCTCTATGGGACTCTTGATGTCAGTTTGGGTTCACAATGTATCCGAATCCCCCCCCTCCCGTGGAAATGTGGTCCCGCTTCCCCCTCCCTGCTATTTGGGACAGACCTCTTTCCATCTGTAACGCCTTCAAGAAATGGATTCGGAAAGATCTTATTTTTTAATAAACTAATAATGGAAAGACTCCAAATGCTTCCGGGCTGGTTTTGAGGCATTCGAGGATCAGCAAGGATTGAACATTTTGATACCTTCCGTTGTTATTGTTTGTATCCTGCTTTGATCTCCCCCAAAAAGAGACCAAAGCAGCTCCAAATAAAGCCAGTTCCAAAACCTAAAAGTATACACACATGAAAACAGCATTAAATATTAACAATATTAAAAAATAAACATTATTATTACTATTATTATTATTTGTATCCCGCTTTTTCTCTCAGGATAATATCAATACATTGTCGAAGGCTTTCAGGGCCAGAATCACTGGGCTGTTGAGAGTTTTCCAGGCTGTTTGGCCATGTTCCAGAAGCATTCTCTCCTGACGTTTCGCCTACATCTATGGTAGGCAATCCAACAGACCTCACAACCTCTGAGGATGCTTGCCATAGATGCAGACAAAAAATCAGGAGAGAATGCTTCTGGAACATGGCCAGACAGCCCAGAAAACACACAACAACCCAAAATCAATACAACTTAAAATAGAATTAAATTCATCCCCAGTTCCCTCCTTCCCTTCCTGGAATGGCAAAGAATGGGTTTGAGCACCACAAGGGGATGTTTTGTTAGGGAAGCTAAGGAATTGAAACTATTATAATAATTTATTTCAACCCTGGTTTTTCCCCATAGGGACTCAAGAAGGCTTACAATAACATTATTAGCATTATTATTATTAATGACAATAATAATCATAATTTTATTTCCACACCACTTTTTTCCCCATAGGGACTTGAGAAGGCTTATGGGCTCTTTTCTCAGGCCCTCTTTCACCATCCTATCCTTCCTTCCTTTCTTCCTTCTCTCCTTCCTTCTCTCTTTCCTTCCTCCTTCCCTCCCTTCAACCCTTTCATCCTTCTTTCCCTTTCCTCCCTCCTTCCCTCTCTCTCTCTCTTCCTTTTGTCTTTCCTTTCTTTTTCCTCCCTCCTCCCTCCATTCCCTTCCACACTTCTTTCTTTCCATCCTTCTCTTCCTCCCCTTTTGTCTTTCCTTCCTTCTCCCTTCCTGCCCTCTTTCTCCCTCCTTTCCTCCCATTCTTTCATCCTTCCCTCGTTCCTTCCTCCCTTCTCTTTTGTCTTTCCTTTCTTCTTTCTTTCCTCCATTTCCTTACATACTTCTTTCTTTCCCTCCTTCTCTCCCCCTCCCTTTCTTCCTTTTGTCTTTACTTCCTTCTTCCTCCCACGTTCCCGTTCTTTCATCCTTCCGTTCTTCGCTCCTTCCTCCCTTCTCTTTCGTCTTTCCTTTCTTCCCTCCCTCCACACTTCCTTCTTTCCATCCTTCTCTTCCTTCCTTTCTCCCCTTTTGTCTTGTCTTCTTTCTCCCTTCCCACCCTTTCTCCCTCCTTCCCTCCCTTCCTTCTCTTTTCTTTCCTTTCTTTTCTCTCTCCCTCCATTCCCTTCCACCCTTCCATCTTTTCCTTCCTTCCTTCTCTCCTTCCTTCCCTCCCTCTCTTGCTCTCTCCCCTTCCAACCTTTCATCCTTCCCTCTTTCCTTCCTTCTTCCCTCTCTATTTCTCCTTCATTCCTTTTCTTTTGTCTTTCCTTCCTTCTCTCTTTCCTCCTCCCTTCCCTCCCTCCTTCCCTTCCTTCCATCCTTCTCTTCCTTTTTTTCCCTTCCTCCTTTTCTCCTGGGAGATGTTTAGCTGGGAGAAGAGAAGGTAAAGAGAGAACATGAGAGCCATGTTTCAAGATTTCAAAGGTTGTCCCATTGAGGAGGAAGAGGGGGAAAACTGACTTTGTGCTGCTCTAGAGACCAGGGCACAAGGGAGCAATGGGTTCAAATGGCAAATAAAGAGATTCGACTGAAAAGATTCTCTGGAGGCTTTTCCACAGAGGCTATCTATTAGGAGTACTTTTACTGTGTCTTCTTGCATGGCAGAGGGTTGGACTGGATGGCCCTTGGGGGTCTCTTCCAGCTCTAGGATTATATCTCAGGAGTGGGCAATACGGGTCTCATGGAGATACTTTTTCTCTCCCGTCCACCATCACATCCAGACACAAGGCCAACCCTTTTGGAATCCAAATGTTTTCCGTCTTTCCTTACAACATTATTTATTTCCACCCTCCTTTTCTACCCATAACGACTCAGAGACTCATCATTGTCAGCATAACAAGTGTATTTCCACCCTACCTTTATTTACAGTACTTATATAATGTCTTTCTCACCCCGGAGGAGACTGAATGGACTCAGTCCATTCAGTGCCGATTAGGCAACGACAAGACAGACAACAGATAGGGGGATATATAGGCTTTTTTCTCATCATTCGGTATCTTTGGAGGCTGTGTTCGGTTCTGGCCACAGGGTGGTGCTGTTGCTCTGTGTCCTTGCTTTCTTTGTAAACTTTCCTCCGAAACACCAATGCCTAAAATACATCACCGCTTAATGAGTTCCAATCCCTCTACTCATGTTTATTTATTTACTATATTTGTATACCGCTCTTCTCAACCCTCAGGGCGACTTAACAAAGCAAATACAATACTTAAACATAATAAAAACAGTTAAAAACAAGTGAAAAGAATAACATTATAACAATCAATAACCATCATAACATCTCATCTTATAGTTAAAATCAAGATCCAATATCATCATCCAAATATTCCATATTTCTATATTAGTTACACTGCCTATTCAAATGCCTGCTCAAACAACCAGGTCTTCAATTTCCTCCAAAATGTGAACAGGGATCTAATTTCTGTGGGAAGGATAGGTGGACGGGGAGCTGGGCTGAAGGTCAGGAGCTCACCCTGACCCAGCTTCGAACTGTCAACCTTTTGGTTGGCAAGATTTACTGCAGCTAGTGATTAACCTGTGCTAAAGCCAGCCCTTTCTCCCCATAGAGGTTTACAATGATGACGACAACAACAATTTTATTTCTACCTTGCGTTTCCTCCCATAGTAACTCAAGGAGGCTTGTAATAACATTATGACTATTAATAATAATAATTGTGTTTCTACCCTGCCTTTCGCTCCATAGGGACTGGTTTACAATTATTATTATTATTATTATTAATTAATATAATTTTATTTCTACACCACGTTTCTCCCCAAATAAATATAATAAAATATAATATTATTACTACTAATAATATAATTATATATTTTGTATTACATGTAATATTACTAATAATATTACAATATAATGGTATAGTACAATATAGTAATATATAATACTGATATTGTACTATGCTAATAATATAATATATTGTATGTATATATATCTTGTAAGTCGCTCTGAGTCCCCTTTGGGGTGAGAAGGGCAGCATATAAATGCAGGAAATAAATAAATAATTAATAATAAATAAATAAAGGGATTCAAAAGAGGGCCACAAGAGTAAAGAGGCCTTTTAGCCCTTTGAGGTTTGGGACTCAATTTCCCAGAAGTCTCAGCCAGCTTATCCAATCATTAGGAATTCTGGGAAATTGAGACCCAAATGCCTGGATGGCCACAAAGTTGAAGAGGCATCCCTTTAACTGTCTGAGGGTTTCGGACTCAATTTCCCAGAAGCTTCAGCCATCTTGTCCAATGGCGAAGAATTCTGGGAAATTGAGTCCCAAAGCCTAGAGGGCCACAAGAGTAAAGAGGCCTTTTAGCCCTTTGGGAGTTGGGACTCAATTTCCCAGAAACCTCAGCCAGCTTGTGCAATGGCCAGGAATTTTGGGAAGTGGAGTCCCAAAGTCTAGAGGGCCACAAGAGTGGAAGAGGCCTTTTAGCCCTTTGGGACTCAATTTCCCAGAAGCCTCAGCCAGCTTATCCAATGGCCAGGTATTCTGGGAAGTGGAGTCCCAAAGTCTTGAGGGCCACACGAGTGAAGAGGCCTTATAGCCCTTTGGGAGTTTTGGACTCAATTTCCCAGAAGCCTCAGCCAGCTTGAGCAATGGCCAGGAATTCTGGGAAGTGGGGTCCCAAAGCCTAGAGGGCCACAAGAGTGAAGAGGCATTTTAGCCCTTTGGGAATTTGGGACTCAATTTCCCAGAAGCCTCAGCCAGCTTATCGAATGGCCAGGAATTCTGGGAAATTGAGTCCCAAAGCCTGAAGGGCCACAGGGAGAGCAAGCTTGGCTTTCAATGCTTCAAAACTAAACCCAACCCGAATGCAATGTGGTGGGATGTGAGTGCCACTCTCTTCGGGTGGGCCAATGGAGGGGCCAGCAGTTGCCAAGGGAGGGAGCCGCGGTTGCCATGGGGCCTGCCTGGGCGCGGCCTGGAGCCGCGGGGCAGTAGGTCGGGTAGCTTTGCGCATAAGCGCGCTCCCCCTCGGGGGGGGGGGGTCCAAAATATCGCCCCTCCCGGCGGGTAAATGTTGGCTGTGCCCGATGATTATCGGGAGGAGGGGAGCGAGAAAAGGATGGAGCGCCGCGCCGCCTATCTTCTTTGCCCAGAACGGAGACGAGCGCTAAGTGAGGGTCTTGCTAGAAGTCTATGTGCTCCAAGACCCCGACGAGCCTCCAGGGGCTCGTCACCATCGCGCGTATTCTGCCAGTCCGCCTCGGCGCACGTTGTGGGCGCAGGCCCCCGCCGCCCTCCTCGCCCTCGCGACATGGACGATATGAAGAAACTCGTGAGGTATCCTCGGGTCTACCTGACCGCTTACCAAAGCGACATGGCCGAGGGGGTCAGGCCGATACAGTGTTTGGAAGGTGTTGGAGTGACGGGGGGCCCGGAAAGGGACATACAGCGGAAGGTGGTGGGAGAGGGGTGAGTGTAAGAGTAATTTGGAGTAAAAATGGCAGAGTTTGTAACTGGCCTCAGACTATCAAAATGAGGCATAGTGCCTTGAGGGACGCTGAGTAAGAGGGTGTTAGGTTTGAGAAGAGGCGGCATGGGAAGGGAGTCAAAGGATCTGGAGACAACTGCTGAAGGGTAGGTGATGAGTTTAGCCAAAAATTGGCGGAATGATGAATTTAATTAACAGGGCGTAGTGCAAGTCGAGAAGAGTATAGTACTGGGTAAGGTGAAGGAAATCGATTATCCTTTATGACAACTGGAGCGGTGACCGTCTAAATGGAGGGTGAGAAGAGGAAGAGCCGAGAGTGGGGGGGCGCAGTTTGGGGGGTAATGGGAGTGTGAGACTGCAAAGGTGAGGGGACAAGCAGCCAGTGGACAAAAGTAGAAAGCTCCGTAAGGGAGGTTTGAGGGGGGAGGGTTGGGCGTGTGCTCACGCCCTTCCCTCCCAAGCCACGCCCTTCCCTCCCAAGCCACGCCCTTCCCTCCCAAGCCACGCCCTTCCCTCCCAAGCCACGCCCTTCCCTCCCAAGCCACGCCCTTCCCTGGTCTCCCCTCCTTTGTGTTCTCTTTTTTTGGGGGGTCCAAAGCTAAGGAGAGAGGGGCTCAGATCATATTAGAAACCCCACCCCCACCCCAATATCTCCATCTTGGCCTGCGAGGGAGGGAGGGAGGGTCTCCTTTGGCCCCGCCCACCTCTCTTTGCCCCCTCGGCCATTTCCCCACAGGTTTTCCCAAGGTCCTGGCCCCGCCCTAAGGCCCACCGGGTTCCCAACTCTCTCTCCTCATTCACGCCCCAGCCCAATAAAAATATATCTCAGATGCCAGAAGGGCCAAATGAGGTGCCTACTTAATAATCATGTCATAATTGTGTCTGCGTTCATGGCCAAACTTGGGCTCCTAGGAGAACAGGAGCAGATACCAAGTTATGGTGGCATGGTTTTGACTTCTTCATATTCAACCTAACAAAAAGGAAATGGTTACTGTTCAACTCCCACAATAATTCCAAACAGCTGGTAAGCTAAAGGATTCCTTTCCCCCCTGGGAAGGGGCCTGAGGCTGTTAGGAATTGTGGGAGTTGAAGTCCAAAAAACCTGGAGGGCCCAAATGTGCCCATGCCTGATATAATATCTTATTGCCTGCCTCGAGGTGCAGCAAAATAGGCTTCATCATAATAAGAATAATATTCATTTATTACTCCAGTAGGAGGTAATAATAGATATTAATAATATAGTAATTCTCTCTTCCTTCCTGGTAGAAAGGGGAGTTGGACTGGGTGGCCTGTAGAAGTAGAAGTTCCAACTCTGAGTCTGATGGTGATGATGATGATAGTAATAGTAATAATAATGCCAGAAGAGAGGTTGGACTGGGTGACCTGTAAAAGTCCCAACTCTTGAGTTTGATGATGATGGTAATAATAATAATGCCAGAAGAGGGGTTGGATTGGGTGGCTTTTAGAAGTCCCTTCCATTTAAATCTGATGATAATAATATGGTGATTCTACCTGCTTGGCAGAAGAGGGGTTGGACTGGTTGGCCTTTAGAAGTCCCTTCCAACTATATGAGTCTGATGATGAAAATAGTAATTCTACCTGTTTGGTAGAAGGGGGTGGGATTGGGTGGCCTTTAGACGTCCCAATTTTGAGTCTGATAATAATAACTGCATAATAATAATAATTCAAGCCAGTAAAGCTGGTCCCAGTGGTGATCGGCACACTGGGTGCAGTGCCTAAAGACCTTGGCCTGCACTTAAACACAATCGGTGCTGACAAAATTACCATCTGCCAGCTGCAGAAGGCCACCTTACTGGGATCTGCACGCATTATTCACTGATACATCACACAGTCCTAGACACTTGGGAAGTATCCGACGTGTGATCCAATTCAACAGCCAGCAGAGTGTCTGCTGTGGACTTATCTTGTTGTGTTTCAAATAATAATACTAATAATATAATAGCAAATCTGTCCTTCTGTTTGGCAGAAGAGGGTTGGACTGGGTGGCCTTTAGAAGTCCTAACTCAGAGTCTGCTAATAACAATTGAATAATACAAATAATAATATAGTAATTCTATTTTCCTGTTTGGCAGAAGAGGGGTTGGACTGGGTGGCCTTAAGACTTCAACTCTTGAGTCTGCCTAATAATAATAATAATAATAATAATAATAATAAGGCCTCCTTACTTGGATCTGCATTAATCATTCAATACATCACACAGTCCTAGACACTTGGGAAGTGTTTGACTTCTGATTTTGTGATACGAAATCCAGCATATAGATCTCGTTCGCTGTGAATGCTGTATTTTGGTGTCAGTAAATAATAATAATAATAATAGTATAGTATTTCTACCTTCCTTCCTAGTAGAAGGAGGGATGGACTGGGTGGCCTTTAGAAATTCAAACTCTGAGTCTGATAGTAATAATTGCATAATAATAATAATAATAATAATAATAATAATAATATAGTAGTTCTATAGTTCTGTTTGGCAGAAGGGGGTTGAGCTAGGTGGCCTTTAGAAGTCCTAACTGAGTCTGCCTGATGATGATGATGATGATGATATAGTAATTCTATATTCCTTCCTGGTAGAAGGAGGCTTGGACTGGATGGCCTTTAGAAGTCCCAACTCTGAGTCTGATGATGATGATGATAGTAATAATAATAATAATAATAATAATAGAATTATAGAGTGGAAGAGACTCTGTGGGCCATCCAGCCCAACCCTCTGCAAAGAAGCAGGAAAATCGCATTCAGTAATAAAAATACAGGAATTCTACCTGGTTGGCAGAAGGGGGTTGGAGCCTTTAGAAGTCCCTTCCAACTTGTGATTCTGTCTAATAGTAGTAGTAGTAATAGTAATAGTAATACTGATAATAATATATTCCTATTTGGCAGAAAAGTGGTTGGACTGGGTGGCCTTTAAAAGTCCCAACTGAGTCTGAGAATAATAATATAGTAATTCTTCCTGGCAGAAAGGGGTTGGACTGGGTGACCTTTAAGTTCCTTCCAACTGTATGAATCTGATGATGATGATGATGATGATTGTTAACTGCGTGCCTCTCTTTTAGCTCAAGGCTGAAAAGCATAATAAATTATTACTAATATTATTACTCACCTCGACTTGAGACAGCAGGGCACAACTCAGTCACACACCCCTCTCTATACAATCACCTGTTTAAACATAGTTAAAATGCAACTATCAATGCCTTTGTGATATGACCTGAGGGCTAATCAATAAAATTTACTACAAACGATCAATGCAATAAATACACTTACTAAAATACCCGTGACCTCTATTTATTAGTCACCTCTTCTTTTGGCTTGAGGCAGGGCATATCATGCTTCATAATGATGATGATGATAATGATGATGGCAATAATAATAATGATGATGATGATGTCACATAGAGTGCAATGAAAAGTCATTGTGAAAGCTGACTGGGGAGGCTCTTCTGCCGGAATAGGGAGGCCTCCAGCCTGGGCTCCCAAGGGCCTCTGTGTGACCCAGAAGGAGCTCCCCATGGCCAGTGCATAGTTCCCTTCCTTTCCGCCATTGCCCTGGGAAGGCAGGGCTCAAGGGATGGCTGCCCCAGAGGCCTGCAGAGACCTGAGGCCTATCTGTCCTGGCTCCCTCCCTCTTCTTAGAAATGGTGGAGTCCATGAAGAAAGTGGCAGGGATGGACGTGGAGCTGACGGTGGAGGAGCGGAACCTCCTCTCAGTGGCCTACAAGAACGTGATCGGGGCCCGGAGGGCCTCCTGGAGGATCATCAGTAGCATCGAGCAGAAGGAGGAGAACAAAGGCGGGGAGGACAAGCTCAAAATGATCCGGGAGTATCGGCAAATGGTGAGTGAGGGTCTCCAGGGGGTGAGAGAAGGCCTTGCGTTGGGAGGGCGGTTGGGGTTATTCCTCTATTTACAATTACAAACATCTGACTTGCAAATGACTCATAGTTAAGAACAGGGGTGAGACAACAGGAAGGGAGAGAAATTTGGATTCCTCTTTAATTGAAGAAGATTCCAAGTGCTCAGCAACTGGTGAAAATGTGTATCGCCTTTATGGGGGCTCATCCGGGATTATTATCATGGAGGGAAAGGTGTCTCCAATGATGCTTTATCCTTAGTACTTGTTTCCACAACAAGAATTAGCATGTTTGTCTTAGTGTTTGCATGTTATATATGCCTATTTTTAATTATTTTAATTAATACTTATATTTCAGTGTTGTTGTTGTGGTTTTATTTTATTGTATGTATGTATGTTGGCATTGAATTCTTGCCATTAATAGGTTATAAACCTCCTTAAGACCCTCCAGGGGTGAGAAAGGCGGTACAGTAGAGTCTCGTTTATCCAACCTTCACTCATCCAATGTTCTGTATTATCCAACGCAGTCTGCCTTCCTTCCGGAATAATGTCCAGAGTGGGAGAAAGAAAGAACCCTTGTTCTTTTTTGGTGCTAAATTCATAAATATAGTAATTGCTACATAATGTTAACTGTGCATTGAACTGGCTTTTTGTCGATTTGTTGTAAAACATGATGTTTTGGTGCTTAATTTGTAAAATCATAACATAATTTGATGTTTAATAGGCTTAATCCCTCCTTATTATCCAACATTTTTGCTTATCCAACGTTCTACCGGCCTGTTTATATTGGATAAGCGAGACTCTACTGTATATAACTATTATATACTAAACAAGTAAAAATAAATAAAGAACGTGTGGAAAGGAAGGGGTGAGGGGGGGCCCCAAACTCTGGGATTACAAGGGTGGCATTCCTTCCCCAAAGTGACGGAAGAAGGTTGCGGACACTGGTTTGAGACAGAGGGAGGCGCCTTTCAGTCCCATCAAAGGGGTCTGAAGACGAAGGGATTGTAGGGACTCCTCGGGGAAAGCCCTCCTTCACCTGCCATTCTTCTCCCTCCTCCTTTCCCCTCCCTCGTTTGCTTCCCAAGGTTGAGACTGAACTGAAGCTCATCTGCTGCGACATCCTGGACGTACTGGATAAACACCTCATTCCAGCCGCCAACACGGGCGAATCCAAGGTTTTCTATTATAAAATGTAGGTGATGGTTCCTACATTTTAGTGGGATGGCAGTTGGGGATGGGGCCCTGGAATGGAGGTAGAATGACTCAATATAAGACAGTGTTTCTCAAGCTTCCGAATGCTGCAACCCCTTAATACTGTTCCTCATGTTGTGGTGACCCCCAACTACAAAATTATTTTCGTTGCTACTTCATAACTGTCATTTTGCTAAAAGTTAATGAACCATCCTGTAAATATCTGATATGCAGGATGTATTTTCATTCACTGGACCAAATTTGGCACAAATACCGGATACGCCCAAATTTGAATACTGGTGGGGTTGGGGGCAGATTGAGTTTGTCATTTGGGAGTTGTAGTTGCTGGGAGTTGTAGTTCACCAAAGAACATTCTGAACTTCATCAACGATGGAATTGAAACAAACTTGGCATACAGAATTCCCATGATTTGCTGGAAGGGTTTGCTGGGCACTGAACTTGAGTTTTGGAGTTGTAGTTCACCCATATCCAGAGAGCACTGTGGACTCAAACAATGATGGATTTGGACCAAACTTGGCATGGATTCTCAGTATGCCCAAATGTGGTGAAGTTTGGGGAAAATAGACCCAGAGATTTGGGAGTTGTAGTTGCTAGGATGTATAGTTAACCTACAATCAAAGAGCATTGTGAACCCCACCAATGATAGAATTGGGCCAAACTTCCAACACAGAACCCCCATGACCCAACAGAAAATACTGTGTTTACTTATGGTCTTTGGCAACTCCTCAGGGGTCCTAACTCTTAGGTTGTGAAACGCTGTCCAAGGGTCTGTTTTGGAAGTCCGGCTTTGGTCCTCTCCAAGCACAATCCACTCCTAATGGGGTTTTTGGGTCAATATTTTAGATATAGAACAAACGGTCTGTCGGCTCCATGTAGCCGACTCCAATCAGAGGCACGTCAATGAGAGTCCAGGTTCCTTGCCTAGCCCTTCATGCCATTGGCCCAAGTAGAGCTATTGGCTCCAAAGCATCCCAGGGTAATGCTTAAAGTCAAGGCTGTTGACCATTTGTAGCCCCCGATCCAGTTGCAATACAACATCTTGGGGAAAGTGCGGTTGCGTTAACAGTGGATATCATCCCGCACAGTACAGTTGGCGATATATCACTCCTGGGAATAAGAAACCGTCTTGGATTGGAACAGACATAATTGGCGGGACTATTATTTCAGATGTCTTTTCTTAAAGCGTCTTTGCTTTCTCCTTCTGCTGCAGGAAAGGGGACTACCACCGGTATCTGGCTGAATTTGCCACCGGGAACGACCGGAAGGAAGCGGCCGAGAACAGCCTGGTGGCCTACAAAGCGGCCAGCGACATCGCCATGACGGAGCTCCCCCCGACGCACCCCATCCGCCTCGGCCTCGCCCTCAACTTCTCCGTTTTCTACTACGAAATCCTTAACTCTCCTGACCGTGCCTGCAGGTGGGCCTAAGGCAGAGGAAAGGAGGTGGGGTGGGCATTTACTTTTAGGGGTTCCTCAGGGGGGAAAAAGGAGAGGGAGGCCATGCTGAGGGTGACGCCCTGATTGATGGTGACCCTCCCTTGTTGTTGCCCCCATCGTTTCAGGTTGGCCAAAGCCGCGTTTGATGACGCCATTGCGGAGCTGGACACGCTGAGCGAAGAGAGCTACAAGGATTCCACGCTGATCATGCAGTTGTTACGTGACAACCTGACACTATGGACTTCAGACATGCAGGGAGATGGTGAGTGAAGGAGCGACCTCTTTTCTGGGGAGGGTGTCCTGTTCTTCCTTGTCCCTTGGGCTCTTTTGGGAGGAGGGCAAATGGGCCAAAAGGAGCTCTATGAGGCTGAATGGTCCCTCTGTCTCTCTTCTGTCCCTCTTCTGGTTTCTGCACAATTGCTTTTGTAGAGGAGTGGGAATGGGGTAGGGTCTGTGGAGCTGTACCTAGAGGGTGGGACTTCCTGGGAGGAGCTATAGGGGCCATTCAGTCATGGCCGCCATCTGCCCACTGCTTCCGTCTTCAGGATAGTGCTCTGTGGGTCCCTATTTGCAGGGAGAGGCTGCCAGTCAACTCTGCAAATGAAGAGGCCTTCATTGGTCCACAGAGTGTGCAGGAACCACAGTTAAGGGTTCGAATCCTGCCCACTCAGCTGCAGAGAAAGGCTGCAGTGGCAAAGGAGGGGGAATCTGTCCAAGGAAAAAACTTGGAGGGGTTGCACTGGGTCAGAGCTGACTTGAAGGCAGGTGGCAGTTTCCTTCCTTCCTTCCTTCCTTCCTTCCTTCCTTCCTTCCTTCCTTCCTTCCTTTCTGATCCCTTTTTTCTATTATGTAGATTCTTAAAGAGGAACTCCACCTCTCCGTTTTCTAAAACCTCTACTTTGTAAGTCTCTGCAGCGATGCAGGGGATGTCTTGTGTTGCTCCTTGTCACTCACTAACCTTGCTAGCGTCTGGTTTGCGTCTGTGACTATGGCAGGGCAAAGATCGCCCTCATCTTGAAAGAGAGGCCAAGCAGCCCTGGGGTCCCCGTTAAGCCCATATTCCCCGTAATTTCTGCTTGTTGCCGATGTCACCTCTGATCTACACCCTCCCTACAGTCTGCCCTGGGACTGTGGGCCCTGCTCTCACCCAGGCTGTCCTCTGAGCTGATTATTATTATTATTAGATACACAACAAGATAAATACACAGCAGACAAGACTTGTATGCTGTCTTTTGTATTGGATCACACATCAGACCCTTATTTATTTGTTTATTTATTTACAATATTTATATGCTGCCCTTCTCACCCTGAAGGGAACTCAGAGCATCCAAGTGTCTAGGACTGATGTATTGGTGAATAATGCATGCAGGTCCAAGCAGGGAGGACTTTTGCAGCTGACAGGTGGTGATTTCATCAGTGCCAATTGTTTTTAAGTGCAGGCCAATGTCTTTAGCCACTGCACGCAGTGTGCCGATCACCACTGGGACCATCTTGACTGGCTTGTGCCTTTGCAGTTCGATCTTTAAATTATTATTATTATTATTATTATATGCCTTGGGCTTGTGCTGCCCCTTGGCCGGGGGGAGTGCAGTGAAGCAAACTCTGAGGTTTTGACGCATGTCTCCATCTGACTAAATGGCTCTGGATTAACCAGAAGCATGTGAAAGGTTGAAGCAGGGAGGCTGTCTTGTCTGTGGCCCGGCTTCTGGCTGCCGCTTGCCTTGAGCTTTGACCAAGTAATATGGGCTGAATGAAGGAGAAAGGGGTTTCTGAGACTAATCTGGAACTTTGGCTCTCTTGCCCAGCCTTCGTTGGGGAGTTGTTCCTGTTGGGTGGAAACAAGAGGGACCTCTTCTGGGGAGGCTTTGACCTCCTTCCTGAGCCTGGCATTTTGGGGGAGAATAGCTGCCATAGAAGCCTAGGGTTGAAAGAGAACCCAAGGAGGACTCTCCAGTCTAATTCTCTTCTACCATTGAGGGCAGCATCATCCCCTCCCATTCAGTCTCTGCTGAAAACCCATATGTTGGAAGGGACCCTTTTCCACCAGGCAGGAGAAGCACAATCCGGTCCCTCCCGACAGATGGTCACCCAGCCCTTGCTTAATCATAACAGTAGAACCATAGAATCCTAGAGTTGAAAGTTATCCTAAGGGCCATTCAGTCCAACTTTCTTCTGCCATAAAAAAAGCCCTCCAGACAGATGGTCATCCAGCCCTTGCGTAATACCGTATCTATTCAAGTAATTTTACCACAAAAAACTGTACTGACTTGAATATAAGCCGAAGGTGGGAAATGCAGGAGCTACGGGTAAATTTCAAAATAAAAATAGATACCAATAAAATGACATTAATTGAGGCCTTAGTAGATTAAATGTTTTTGAATATTTGCATAAAACTAATTTAGGATAAGACTGTCCAGTTCTGATTAAACGATTCTAACTTTCTTCAGTGTAAATGTACTTACATATCCTTTCAATAATAATAGAATAAAATAATGTAATAACAATAATAGAATAAATTGATGGAAATGTAACAATAACAGTAATAATACAGTAAAATAATAAATATAACAAGAGTAAAATAATGTAATAATAATAGAGCAAAATAATAAATGTAATAATAATAGAGTAAAATAATAAATGTAATAAGATAATAGTAGTAAAATAATGTAAATGTAATAAAAGTAATAGTAGAGTAAAATAATAAATGCCATAACAGAGAAAAATAATAAATGTCATAATAACAATCATAAATAGAGTAAATTATTAAATGCCATAATAATAGAGAAAAATAAATGTAATAATAATAGAATACAATAATAATAGAGTAAAATAATAAATGCCATAATAATAACAGTAAAATAATAAATAATTTTTAATCGAGTATAAGCCAAGGGGGGCTTTTTCAACCTAAAAAAGGGGCTGAAAAACTCAGCTTGTACTTACGTATATACAGTAATAATAACAGTAGAACCGTGGAATCCTAAAGTTAAAACATATCCCAAGGACCATCCAGTCCAACCTCCTTCTGCCATAAAGATATTATTAAAGCCCTCCTGACAAATGCCCATCCAGCCTCTGTTCCAAAGCCTCCACCGGACTCTTGAGGCAGGGAGTTCCATTGTTAGAACCCCTCTTTTTATAGTGAGGAGTGTCCCTATGGCATTTGAACCCATATCTCCATTGAATCCTAGTCTCCGGAGCAATGGAAAACAAGGCTGCCTTTTCCTTGTGGCATCCTTCCTCCTCTCACTCTTCTCTATCCCTTCCTTCCTTCTGCAGGTGAAGAACAGAGTAAAGAAGCGCTGCAAGACGTGGAAGACGAGAACCAGTGAGACACCATCAAGGCCAATAAGAGACCCCCCTCTCTCTCTGTCCCCCCTCCCACCTCCCCTGCCCCCATCCCATAATAATAATAAGCCCCTCAGTGTCCCTGGGAGCGCCATCTTCCCTGACGTTCACGATGGTCCCCCTCCCAAGAATTTAGGTTCCTGTCCTGTTGGTTTTTTTACACAGTTCTAAACGTTCTTTGGGGGGAAAAAAAGGCAAGAGTGAATGTCTGTGGGTTTTACTGGTGCCAGCTTTGAGTTTCCTTTAAGACACTACTATATACCGGAAGCTTTTTTAAGGGTTTTTTCCCCCCCTTTGCATCTCTTTCTCGCTCTCTCCCTCCCTTTCCGTCTTGGTCTTCTGTCCGGAAGCCATTAAAAAAAAGAGATCTGTGGCGGCATATTTTTTATTATTATTATTATTATTGTTTGATCGATGTTTTAAAAAAATTGGGGTGGTTGTTTAGCTTTGGGAGTTGACAGTTTTCCTTTGGGACAGTTTCCTTGTAGTGGTTTTTTTGCCGTACGAAACAAGAACGCTTGAAAGCTTGCCATTAAGAGAAAAAAATACGTAAACAAAGAGCTTCACGCTTGCTGTCAAAAGCGAGCTGGAGAGCAAACGCGCGGTCAATGAGTTCACAGCTGCGCAGAGATGATGATGATGTTGTTGTTGCCGCTGGTCAACGGTTCCACAAATCCGTGGCTCTTCATTCTTGCCTTCCCTTAACGGACCCTCCTTTGAGCAGGTTGGCATCAATGGAGAGAGAGGCCTGCATGTCTGCCCCATAGTCTCCTCCTTTCCCTCCTTCCCTTCTTCTTTCCTCCTTTGCTAGCTCTCTCTCTCTTTCATTCCGTTTTGTGTCACTTGAAGCTAATTTGTACTACTGGATTATCTGACTGGAGCCGCCGCTGCCGCAGGGACAGGACCTGTGTCGTTCTTACTGAAACACAGCATGGAATTTAACATTAAAACTTAAATAAAAACGACCCTAAATTAAACCCGAGAGAGACCCCGTAACTGCTGGTGGAACCCGAGGCCGCGGGGCTTTATGCGGTGAGCCCCATGGGTTTGAGGAAGGCCTCCTGTCACTTTAAATAGGGGTGTAGAGCTCAAAGGAAGGTAAACAGAGGGTTTGCAGAATGAGAGGGGGTTTGTAGTTTAGGGGTGGGCCTTTAAAATGCTGAGCCCAGGATTCTGCAGAATGATCAGCTCCTCTTTAAGCTCTAGTGTGAGAAGTCTAATGTAGAGAAGCGTTTTCCAATCACCCCCAGGATTCTGAGAAACGTAGTTTAAGGAAGCCGGGGCCTCTGGCTGAAAATCCCAAAGGCCTCTGCCCTACATTTCCCAGAGTCCTACAATAGGGAGATGAGTTGCCTCTGGTTCATAGCGCGAACAACATGGCGTCGTGTGGCATTGTCCCCTTTGGCTTTCTCTCTTTCAAAAACCCTGACCAGGCCTTCGGGGTCAACCCGGAATGAGATTTCACTGCTTCCTTTGCGCCTCGTTGCGTTCTGCCCCAAACACTTCCCCGTCTGAATGGTGTCTCCTTCGTTTTTGGGGCGCTCCCTTTTGGACTGAGCAGCAAGCACGTCTTGGATCAATAAAAGTTCTGTGTAAAGATTCTGCTCTCTGCCCGTCTCCCTTGGGTTTGGCGTCTTGGCTGTCGGATGGGATTGGAGCCCCTTCTTTCTTTCCTCCCTTCCTTCCTTCCTCTTCCAGCCAAATAATCCCAGCCAGAACATCACTCCAAGCATACTTAGGAACTTGGTTGCGGTGAGTTTGCTGGGCTGTACGACCATGTTCCAGCCTGGAAAATGCACAGCATCTTATTTATTCCAGCCATGAAAGCCTAACATTTATTTATTTACACTATTTATATTTGGCCCTTCTCACCCCAAAGGGGACTCGGGGCGGATCACAATGCACAAATACATGACAAACATTCAGTGCCATTTTCTAGACAGAAAGGTATTTTTGGCATTTCCATTTTGGTGCCTGGATGTTATGCTCGATTCCGGCCACAGGAGAACTGTCCCTTCATCCACTCATATTTTCTCCTTGCTATTTGACTGCTGGCATTTTTATGGTGTCATAAAATACCTCCCTGCTTTAAGCGGTCCCTAATTTCTCTACTCACAGCTCAGCTGTTTTCAAACTGCTTAGGTGGACAGTAAGCTAGGCTTAACAGTCAGGTGCTCTATCCAACTTGGGCTTCGAACCTGTCATCTTCTGGTCAGCAGTGATCTATTGCAGCTGGTGAATAACCAGCTGTGCTATAGCCCGGCCTTAGGAAAGTTTACTCTTCAGTAAATAGGCCTCTATAGAAATACATGGACACAAAGGGAAAATAGAGACGCGTCATTCCAATGATATTTGGGACATTTGCACCTAAGCCTCGATGGCCCACCCATAGGCAAAGGCCACAAGGACCACATCATTAATTCATTAATTTTTGTGTGTGTCAGGAGCAACTTGAGAAACTGCAAGTCTTTAGGTGTGAGAGAATTGGCTGACCTCAAGGACGTTGCCCAGGGGACGCCCAGATGTCTTGATTTTTTACTATCTTTGTGGGAGGCTTCACTCATGCCCCTGCATGGGGAACTGGAGCTGACAGAGGGAGCTCAACCCACTCTCCCCGGATTCAAACCGCTGACCTATCTTACAATATTATAATATTATAATGAATAATAATATTAATAATAATGAAGGTCGGGCCATTGGCTCATTGGAATGTAGGTGGATACCATGAGGGCCATTTCAATAATGATAATTTAAATGTTGGCCCATTGGACATAGGCAAAGGCCAATTCAATAGTAATTTTATAAGGAAGATTGGTTCACTGGCACAATAATGAAGGTTGGACCATAATCAGATGGAGTAATAATAATAATAATACAATTTTATTTAATATCCCGCACCTATCTCCCCAAGGTTTTCCTCATATGAGCTTTCCTTATAGGGAAATTGGGTGATACTGTACCTATAATAAGAATAATAGTACGGGTTGAGTATGTTGTATATATAATAATAGTTTCCCTTATATGGAAATTGGGTGATATACCAATCATAACACATGTTGAATATACCTTATATGCAATGATGATAATAAGATGGAGTCTTCATTATCAGGAAATTGGGTGATACTGTTACTATAACTAATAATACCAATAATAATAATATGAGTTAAGTACATTGTATATATAATAATAGAGTTTCCCTTCTATGGAAATTGGGTGATGTAATGCCAATAATAACACATGTTGAGTATACCTTATACGCAGTAATAATAATCAGATGGGAGTCTTTTATATGGAAATTGAGTGATACTGTAACTATGACACTAATACCAGTAATAATAATACAGATTGAGTATATAAAGGTAAAGGTTTCCCCGCCATTAAATCTAGTTGTGTTCGACTCTAGGGGTGGTGCCCATCTCAATTTCTAAGCCAAAAAGCCGGCGTTGCCTGTAGACACCTCCTAGGTCATGTGGTTGGCATGACTGCATTGAGCATCATTACTTTCTCACTGAATCAGTACCTATTGATCTACTCACATTTGCATGTTTTTGAACTGCTGGGTTGGCAGAAGTTGGGGCTAACAGCAGGAGCTCACTCCAAACCCCAGATGAGTATATTGTATATATAATAATAGAGCTTCCCTTATAATGGAAATTGAGTGATATAATGCCAATAATAACACACGCTGAGTATATCTTATATGGAATAATAATAATCAGATGGGAGTCTTCCATTATATGGATATTGGGTGATACTGTATAACTTGCTCAGCTGGCTCGAGGTTTTGGGCTTGAATGTTATCAGTATGCCGATGACACTCAGCTGGTGCTGAAGATGGAAGGCCGACCGGACTCTGTACCCGATTGTTTCCATCAGTGCCTCGAGGCCGTTACTGGATGGCTGCGTGCCAGCAGGTTGAGGGTGAATCCAGCAAAGATGGAGATCCTATGGCTGGGTCGACCGGGCAGTGGGGACATCCAGCTGCCTACCCTGGATGGCGAGGCGCTACGCCCGTCATCATTGGTAAAGAGTCTGGGAGTCCTTTTGGACCCTCTGCTGACGATGGAGGCCCAGGTCTCCTTTGTTAGCAGAACCGCCTTCTTTCATCTGCGGCAGGCTAGATGGCTGGCCCCCTACCTGCCCAGGGATGACCTAGCTACGGTGATCCAGGCCACGGTCATCTCAAGATTGGACTACTGTAATGCCCTCTACATTGGCCTTCCTCTGTCGGTGATCCGGAAGCTCAAGTTGGTACAAAATGCAGCTGCTCGGCTTCTTGCGGGAATTCCGATGAGATGCCACATAACCCCAATCTTACTACAGCTGCATTGGTTACCAATTGAGCACCGGATCACTTTCAAAGTGATGGTACTCACCTTTAAGGCCTTGCATGGTCTGGGGCCGATGTATCTGAGGGACCGCCTCACCCCCTACCAACCCCAGAGATCCCTCCGTTCTGAGGACCAAGATCTATTAGAAGTCCCCAGTGTCAAGACCTTGCGTCTAACAGCAACCAGACGCAGAGCCTTCACAGCAGTGGCACCATCACTCTGGAATACTCTGCCACCTGAAGTCCGTGCCTTGCGGGACTTACCAGCTTTCCGCAGGGCATGTAAGACATACCTGTTTCGACAGGCTTTTAATGTTTGATAGTGTTGTTTTTAAATTGTTTTAAATTGCTTTTAAATTTTGTTAGATTTTAGCTATTCTTGTAAGCCGCTCCGAGCCCCAGGGGAGTGGCGGCATATAAGTTTAAATAATAAATAAATAAATAATAACAATAATCAGATGGAATCACCCTTATATGGAAATGGGGTGATACTGTAATTGTAATACCAACAATATTAATACATTGGGCATATCTTGTATGTAATAATAATAGTCTCCCTTATATAGAAATTGGGTGATACTGTAACTATAACACTAATAATACCAATAATTATACATCTTACATGCAGTAATGCTAGATGGAATCACCCTTCTATGGAAATGGGGTGATGCTGTAATTGTAATAATAATAATATGCAATAATAGTCTCCCTTCTATGGAAATTGGGTGATACTGCAACTGTAACACTAATAATACCAATAATATATCTTACGTGCAATAATGCTAGATGGAATATTCCTTCTGTGGAAATGGAGTGATACTGTAATTGTAATTCCAATAATAATAACAGAGTATATCTTATATGCAATAATAGTCTCCCTTCTATGGAAATGGGGTGATACTGTAACTATAACACTAATAATAATGGCAATAATAATCCATCTGATGTGCAATAATGTTAGATGGAAATAGGGTGATAATGTAATTGTAATGCCAATTATAATAAATATTGGGACACTGGTTGTCATAATAACCATAACCATAATATAATCATAATCATTCCATTTTTTTCCAATAATTATATAAATATATTAATAAATATATTCCAATAATATGTAGGAACATTGGCACATAGACTTTGGTTTGCTCATGCCTGATCCAGAGACATGGGGTGCGGTGACATCGGTATGCCGATGATCCCCACAGATATTTGTCCCTGCCGTCCAAAACGGCTAGTAGTAGGAATTGTGGGAGTTGGAAGTCCAAAACACCTGGAGAGCCGAAGTTTGCCCGTGCCTGCTCTACCCCCACCCCACTTGTAGGCCAAGAATACTCAGAACGTTGACAGGCTTAGAACAAATGTATTTATTTGGCATGTAGAGATCTTGATTTCTATATTGAGCGTAGTGCATAGAGCCTTAGGTCTTCTATAGAAGTCAGAGAGAGGCAGCCTTCTTCACCGCAAAGGGGCATCGGGAGGCTTCTCTGCGGCTTTCAGGCCCAAAGGGGCTTCTCCCACTGAAGCACCAGGAGGAAGAAAGACATAGGATTGGGGTCCCTGCCCCCCAGGCTGACCTGTCCCACAGCCCACAGCGGGGGCTCTGGACTTAGATGGGAGCATGGGAATGGGTTTGGAGCCAGGCAGGCACATGCGGAATAGTTCAGCCGGTCCCAGTATGGAGCTGCTCCAAAGAGCTCTGCTTTAATGCTTCTGTTTCTGGTTTTGACACTTAGGTGATGAAGCTGGAAGGGAAGGGGCAGCAGGAGGCATGGAAGGAAGAGAAGGGAAAGGAAGAGAGATAGGAGGGAATAGAAGAATAGATAGAAGGAGGAGGGAGAATTGATGGATGGAAAGAGAAAAGGGGAGAGGGAGAGGAGGAGAAGAAATGGAAGGAAGGAAGAGAGTAAGGAAAGAAAGGGAGAATGGATGGGTGGAAAGAAAAGGGGAGAGTGAGGGGAGGAAGAAGAGATGGAAAAGAAGGAAGGAAGAATGGAAGAAAAAGGGAGAATGGATGGATGGAAAGAAGGGAGAGCGAGAGGGGAGGAAGAATAGATAGGAAGGAAGGAAGAGTGGAAGGAAAGAAAGGATGGATGGATTGAAAGAAAGCGAGAGGGGGAAAAAGAGATGGAAGAGTGGAAGGAAAGAAAGGGATGGATGGAAAGAATACATGGAAGGAAAGGAGGGAGAATGGATGGCTGGATAGATGGATAGAGAAAAGGAGAGCAAGGGGAGAAAGAAGAGATGGAAGGAAAAGAAGGAAGAGGGGAAGGAAGGGAAGGGAGAATGTATGGGCGGAAAGAAGAGAGGAGATRGGAAGAATACATAGAAGAGCTAGGGAAGGATGCATGGAAGGAAAGAGAAAAAGACAGGGGAAGAAGAATAGATGGAAGGAAATAGAGGATGGGTGGATGGAAAGAAAAGGGGAGAGTGAGAGGGGAGGAAGAATAGATGGATGGAAAGAAAGGAGGAGAATGGATAGATGRAAAGAAAAGGGGAGAGCGAGGAGTGGAAGGATGGATGGGAAGGAGGGAGGAAAAGGGAAGGAGAAAAAAGATGGATGGAAGGAAGGAAGGAAAAGAAAAAGTGAGGAAGGATGGAAAGGAAAGGAAGAAAAAATGAGGGGAGATGGATGGAAGGAAAGAAAAGAAGAAGGGAGGGAGGAAAAAAGGAATGGATGGAAGAAAGGATATAAAAAGGAGGATGGATGGAAAGAAAAGGAGGCAGAAAAATTGGAAGGAAGGAGGGAGCATGGATGGATGGATGGAAAGAAAGGAATGAGGAAGGAAAGGGCAGGAAGGAGGAGGGAGGGTCCCCCAATGAGCTGCCTGCTGCCGTCAAAGGGAATCCAAAGTAATGGGCTTGAAGGCAAGGCCGGATGGTGTCTCCTGCAACTCTTCCCATGAGAAGAAAATAAAGTTCCCAAAGGACAGACATCCATCCCATCTAGTGAGTGAGTTAGCACATATTTACACAGAATCTCAACTCATTTACATTATGGCTTTTTAATATATATTTTTATATATATATATTTATATATATCGTTTCATACAAAGCATCCCAAAAAATCTAGGAGAGGGGGGAAAAAAACCCCATTAGAATAGTTTAGTATAAAATTTTGGCATGTTGCTGCTGCTGTTTGGTGGCCATTCCTTGGGGCCTGGAAGAGGCTCCCGAGGAAGGGGCTTTGGGTGCAAAATGGGGGGACATGATTAAGGGGAGGGGTCTTTGGCAGCGAGAAAAGAAGGTCCGCAAAGCAGCTGCATGGAAGGAAAAAAGGAAGGAAGGAGGCCCAGCCATGATTTCGGGGGGGGGGGGGGGGGGGGGGGGGGGGCAGCCGGAGGAAGTGGGGGGTCATCGGGAATTCAGCCGGGGGGCCACCTGGGATTGGGGGAAAGAGAGAGGTCATAGAACGGCATGGACGGTCTCCTTCTCTCCCTCCCTCCCCCCTCCCCAGAATTCCCTCCATACTGACCACTGCCAGGTGGCCATTCTTGGCTTTGGCAATCAGCAGCTCCGACCCGGAAGTGAAGTCAATGATGCCCTCTTTGCCTTGACCCACAGCAAACTTGATGCTGCGGAAGGAAGGAAAGTGGTTGGAAGAGTAGCCATCCAGTCCAACCCTCTTCTGTCAGGCAGAAAGACACCATCTAATCCCTCCTGGCAGATGGCCATCCAACCTCTGATGATTATGGTGATGATAATAATAGAATCCTAGAATTGGAATAGACCCTCATGGGCCATACAGTCTTATCTCCCCTTTGCCAGGCAGGAAGACCATCTAATCACTCCTGGCTGATGGCCATCCAACCCCTGATGTTGATGAAGATGATGATGATAATAGAATCCTAGTTGGAGGAGACCCCAAGGGCCATCCAGCCAATCTCCCTTCTGCCGGGCAGGAAGAACCATCTAATCCCTCCCAGCAGATGGCCAACCAGCCTCATAGACATTAGCATGTCATAGAATATTAAAAGAATTGGGCAGGAAAGGCACCATCCAAGCCCTACTGACAGATGGCCATCCAGCGTCTGCCAGGTGAAGGTTTAGAATTAATGTGTGTTATATATACAGTATATACAGTGTGTGTATATATGAAAAATCCGAATTTAAGCTATTCAGCCAGAAATCGAAAATGGTGGATCGACGACAAATTGGATAAGGGAATAAAGGAAAAAACACATACACACACATACTATTTTTATTTAGATAGACAGATAGTTAGTTTCTATATTTGGAGGAGACTGACCTCAGAGATTGGGAGTTATAGTTCACCAATATCCACAGAGCACTGTTTACCCAACAGACAATTGCTCTTGACCTAACCTGGCACGTATATCCAGTATGCCCAACTTTGAATACTGATGGGCTTTGAGAGGACTGACTGAACATGATGAGAGTTGTAGTTCACCCTGCATGTAGAGCCCTGTGACCCCAACCGATGATGGGTCTGGACCTCACATGGCACACAGACCCAATGTGACCAACAGAACATAATGGAGGAGTTGGGGGGGGGGGATGACCCAGAATGGTGGGAGTTGTAGTCCACCCTGTATTTAGGGAGCACTCTTAATCCCACCAATGCCATCTGGATCACATTTGGCATGCAGAACCCTCGTGACCAACTTTTAAGTATTGGTGGAGTTTGAGGGGGACGCTGTGAGTTGGTCATCCACTCACCTGCCCTGGTTGATGTTCACGCTGTTGACTTTGTCGGCACAGATGGCAATTTTAGTCAGTGTTTCAATCACGAAGTCGCTCTGCAACACGACATCCCCCTGGGATGAAATTGGGGGAAAAGTAGAGCTTTGGGTCAGAAGGTGGCAAACAGGGCCCAAAATGACCTCCTCCCCTCCCCAAAGTGGGTCTGCCCCCCTCCTGTGAAGGGAAGGGGGCTTCTGGCTGGGAAATAAGGTACCTTCTGCTTGTTGTCCTGTCGTAGGACGTGGAGCACAAACAGGTTGTCGCTCAAGCTGCTCACGGAGAGGCCTGCAAAACAGAAGAAGGAAGAGGTCTAGCCCCATTCTCGCTTCCTCCCTGTAGAGGGCACTGTGCCACTGCGGAGAATGGCTCTGAGATCCTATGTCCTCAATATTAATTTTTATAGACCCGCCTTTGTTGTTGTGCCCTTCCCTTTTTGTTGTTGTGCCCTTTTGACCAGAGCAATGGATGGCACCCTGAAGCAACAGGCTCCTAGCAAATGCTTTGCCATGGCTTTCGTACCCGTCAGGTTGGCGTAGTCGATCCGCTGCTTGACCTTGGCCTCTTCCACCAAAACCACGGCATTTTGGGTGAGCAGCATCTGCCGGGGCCTGGCCTTGTAGCCCTTCCGGTCATACTTGACCACAGGAACAGCATACTGCAAGGCAAAGCAGGATCACTCATGGGCCTCTATGGGGAGGTCATAGGCTTCTATGGCATTTATGGGCCTCTATGGCTGATCATATGCCTCTTTAGGAGTCATAGGCCCCTATGGGGGAGGCATCCACAGGCTTCTATGGAGGAGTCATAGGCCTCTATGGCTGATCGTAGATCTCGGGGGATCATACGCTTCTATGGGGAGCACAGGCCTCTATGGGGATGTCATAGGCCTCTAAGTCATCCTGAGTCCCCCTTCGGGGGTTGAGAAGTGATGGGATAGAAGTACGGGAAATGATAATACATCAATCATAGGCCTCTATGGGGGGCACAGGCATCTGTGTGGGAGTCATAGGCCTCTATGGGGAAGTCATAGGCCTCTATGGCTGATCATATGCCTCTATGGAGGAGTCATATGTTTCTATGGGGGAGTCATAGGCCTCTATGGCTGATCATAGGCCTCTATGATCAGCCATGCTTCTATGGGGAGGGGCACAGGCCTCTATGGGGAAGTCATAGGCCTCTATGGCTGATCATATGCCTCTATGGGGGGTCATAGGTCTCTATGGGGGAGTCATAGGCCTTTAAGAATGGGCATAGGCCTCTATGGATGATCATAGGCCTCTATGACCGGGGGGGGGGGGGGGGGGGGGGTCATAAGCCTCTATGGGGAAGCCATGGGGCTCTACCGCTGACCATATGCTTCTTTTGGTGGGGTCATGGGCCTCTATGGATGGTCATATGAAAAAGATCTTGGAGTCCTCGTGGACAACAAGTTAAACATGAGCCAACAATGTGATGTAGCGGCAAAAAAAGCCAATGGGATTTTGGCCTGCATCAATAGGAGCATAGTGTCTAGATCTAGGGAAGTAATGCTACCCCTCTATTCCGCTTTGGTTAGACCACACCTGGAATATTGTGTCCAATTCTGGGCACCACAATTCAAGAGAGATATTGACAAGCTGGAATGTGTCCAGAGGAGGGTGACTAAAATGATCAAGGGTCTGGAGAACAAGCCCTATGAGGAGCAGCTTAACGAGCTGGGCATGTTTAGCCTGAAGAAGAGAAGGCTGAGAGGAGATATGATAGCCATGTATAAATATGTGAGTGGAAACCACAGGGAGGAGGGAGCAAGCTTGTTTTCGGCTTCCCTGGAGACTAGGACGTGAAGCAATGGCTTCAAACTACAAGAAAGGAGATTCCATCTGATTCCAGTGAGGAAGAACTTCCTGACTGTGAGAGCTGTTCAGCAGTGAAACTCTCTGCCCTGGAGTGTGGTGGAGGCTCCTTCTTTGGAAGCTTTTAAATGGGCTGGATGGCCATCTGTCGGGTGATTTGAATGCAATATTCCTGCTTCTTGGCAGGAGATTGGACTGGATGGCCCATGAGGTCTTTTCCAACTCTTTGGTTCTATGATTCTATATGTTGCCATGGCTGATCATAGGCCTCTATGAGGAGTCACAGGCTTCTATGGTGGGGTCAAAGGCCTCTATGGCTGATCATGTGCCTCTATGAGGGGGCATAAGCCTCTTGGGCTTATCAAAGGCCTCGATGGGGTGGTCATAGGGCTCAAAGGGTGGGCATCAGCTCACCTTCAGCGTCTCATTTTCCATCACCTGTAGGATCTTGGCATTGATCTCTTCACTCCCTGCAATTTAATCCAAACCAAGAAAAGTGAGGTCAGCAGAGGTCAGGAGTCTGGAATGCCAGGCTGACAGCCGCCAATCCCAAGGGGTGCTTACCCAGGCGGGTGTAAAGAAAGAGGCGGGGGACACTCTGTGGGTAGTTGTCCTTCTTGCCTTTGAAGATCTCGCTGGCCACCGCCTTCTGTTCCAGCTGAAAGGTGTCGAAGGAAAATGGGAGTCAGCCTAGATGAACTTTGGGGGACCCTTCCAACTAGTATTGCGTTATGGACTTCCTTGAAAAGACTCCTTCTGTGGAGGCCTTCCAACAGGTTGATATTCCCTATATTTTCTAGGTCTATATTTCTTGATAGGACAATAGGGTCAGTCTAGATGAGCCTTGGTGGGCGGAGGGGGTCCACTTCCAATTATCGTGATTTTGAGTGCCCTTCCTTTTTTCATATTATTGTTATTATTATTAAATCATACAATATAATAATAAGAATAAAATAATAAATCATATAATACCCATAGTAATACAATATTACATTATAATAGAAAATAAAAACAAATAATGAAATAGCAATAAAATAATGCGTTCTAATTTAATAAATAATATGTGATAACGTAACAGTAACAATGATAATATATAATATAAGAAAATAATAGTAATAATAGTAACATAATATATAATAATATATACCAGAAAAATGATAATATATAATATTAGAATATACTAGTAATATAATAATACATTATAATAAAATAATAGAATAGTAATGAAATAATTTTATAATTTAATACTATAATAACATATAATAGCAAAAAAGGTAATCTGTTATAAGAATAACAGAATAACAATAATAGTAATAAAATCATAAAACATAATTTAATAAATAAATTTAATAATATAATAGTAAAAATGATAATATATATTACAAGAAAATAATAATAATAATAATAATAATAATAATAATAATAATAAACTTTTCGCAGTGGAAAGAGACCCCCCCCCCCCCCCGAGGGTCATCTAGCCCAGACTTGTGCAAACTTTGGCCTTCCCGGTGTTTTGGACTTCAACTCCCACAATATAATAATAATTGTTGTTGTTGTTGTTAACTCCCACAATATAATAATTGTTGTTGTTGTTGTTGTTGTAAACTATTTGCAAGAGCCACCCCCCCCCCCAAGAGGGTCATCTAGCCCAGCCTTGAGCAAACTTTGGCCCTCCTCGGTGTTTTGGACTTCAACTCCCACAATTCCTAACAGCCTACCAGCTGTTAGGAATTGTGGAAGTTAAAGTCCAAAACACCAGGAGGGCTAAAATTTGCCTATGTCTTACCCCACTGACCCAAAGATGGACACCATTCAGCTTCTGTTTGCTTGTTGTGATAAGGATGTGCTCAATACAGGCCAATAATAATAGACTTTTAGCAGTGGAACGAGACCCCCAAAGGTCACCTAGCCTGACCCCATTGTCCCAAAGATGAACACCGTTCAACATCCGCAGGCCATTGGTCCTCACCTGCTGCTTCCACTCGGGGCTGATGCGCTTGCAGTAGCTCCAGACCATGTTCTGCATGCAGAGGTCGCGCAGAAGCTGAGAGGCCTGCAGAGGGATGAAGAGGAAGAGCTGACCATTCAAAGCCCAGGCGGAGAGGAGATCAACGTGGATGGACAGACGACACACACCCAGACATACACACAAAGCCTACCTCTTTCAGGGAAGGAGGAGGCACTGGCCAGGACTTGTCCAGGACGTTCTTGGGGAGGCAGCGCTTCAGGGTCATCAGGAAGGAGTAGCGGATATAGTCCAGGAAGTACTCATTCTCCGGCCCTCGAGGCTGGTTCCGGAATATGAAGCCCTGGATGAACCTGCAAGAGGAGGAGAGGAAGTAAGGAAGCCTTCCTCCAAAACAGGGACAGCACTGAAGTCCGAGAGAGAGTTCGCTTCCTTACCGCCGGACGGTTTCCACGGCCCACTTCCTTTTGGCGGCCTTCCGGCGGCCCAGCGTCCCCCGCCACCAGGACTGGATGGTAGTGGCTGAGGAGGAAAGAGGGAAGATACTCAGGGCATCCTTCTCCCAATGCCACCTCCCTTCTACCTGCCATGAGACCCCAACAGGCCCTTCATCTTCCTTCCTTCTCTCACCTGAGTGCTTCATTTCTTGGAACTTCTTTCTCTGATGGAACCCTCTCCAGGAAGCCTGGATCTCTGTGGCTGCAGGAATAATAATAGTGCAATATTATATAAATATAAGAATATCATAACAGTGAAAAATGTGTACATGTGGATGTGGCGGAGGTGTCCACTAACACAGACAGACTCCCACCACCACACTACAGCTCACACTACACAGGAGACACCAATGACCCTCACGCCAATGACATTGCAAGTTATAGTGAGCACCTCACCCCAGTGTTCCTTTTTCTCTCCATTGGTGTGGAATTTGCATGCCCACTGCCTCTCCAGCAGGTTCCGTTGGGTCATGGAGGTTCTGTGTGCCAAGTTAGGTCCAGGTCCATCATTGGTGGGGATCAGAGTGTACTTTGATTGCAGGTGATCTATAAATCCCAGTACCTACAACTCCCAAATGTCAAGGCTAATTCCCCACAAATCCCCCCAGTATGTTCTGTTGGTCATGGGGGTTCTGTGTGCCAAGTTAGGTCCAGGTCCATCATTGGTGGGGATCAGAGTGTACTTTGATTGCAGGCGATCTATAAATCCCAGTACCTACAACTCCCAAATGTCAAGGTTAATTCCCCACAAATCCCTCCAGTTCTGTGTGCCAAATGTGGTCCAGGTCCATTATCGGTGGGCATCGTAGGATGATACAGGGTGAACTACAACTTCCATTATGTGGAGTCAGGCCCTCAAACCCCTCCAGTATGTTCGGTTGCTGCTCAGTTCTGCTCTGTTTGTCATGCAGAGAGAGTTGAAAAGAGTAGGAAAGGGTTAAGGGAGTGGGTGGGGTCATGCAAATTCCACACCCAATGGAGAGAGAAAGGAACACTGGGATGTGGCACTCACTATAACCTGCAGTGTCACTGGAAGGAGGGCCATTGTTAATTGCCTTGAGTCTCCACAGAGAGAAAGGTGGTGTATAAATCAAGTTTAATAATAACGTAATAATATTATACTAATACAATATTAATAATAATATATTAATACAATAATATAGAGTATTTAATAACAATATAATAAAATAATAAAATTATCATAATAATACAATATACTCACCCAGGCTCTGCTTCCGGACCTCCAGGGCATCTTCAGTGGCAAAGAGAGTCTTGGGGAAACGGATGAATATCTTTGTCCTGAGAATCAGAGGCGTTTGTGAGATGGGGCAGGATCCCCCACACACAAGCAAATGGGGCAGGTTCTACCTCCTAGTCCAATCCCGCCCCGAAATGCACTTACCTTCCCATCTTATATTCCTCCTGCTTGCAGCCGAGGTGGTTCAAGAGCAGGGCCACGCCGTCCTGCGGCCTCCCATCCCACAAAGGCCACGTTTCCGGACACAGAGACTTATATCTGGGCAGAGGGAGGAAGGAAGGAAAGCTGCCCATTGGCAAAGATAGATGCAAGTTCCCTGCCACCCGTCCAGAGGGGAACATCCTTAAGAGTGGACCCAGAGAAAGGAGGAAGACTTCTATCATGGGTAACAAGGCGAATAGTGTGTGGGAGTCGAACAATACACTTCAGGGGAGTTTTACTACTGATTCCAAAGAGAGAAATGAGGATTTGGCTCATGTATATGGGCTGCCAGAACTTTGAATAAAACTCAACGATGTGTAAATACATATTATATAAGAACTGATAAATTGTTAAGAAACTGATTACTCGGAGGACAGTAGGAAGTCTATTTTTTCCCCCTTCTTCTCCTTTCCTTTCTTATTTTTCTCACTTCACCATTTCACCCATCTGTCTTTGACTAAAAAACATGTTTTCTTCACTTTCGCGGTAAATATAACTAAAATGCACAATAAAAAATATATTTAAAAAAAAGAATTGGTCAGGTAGGATATAATAGCTATTATAAATACTGTATTATAAATATAGCTATTATAAATATAGCTTTTATAAATATTATAATATAAATATGCCAAGTATGCATATAATATTATAAATAAAGCTACTATAAATATTATAAGTATACATATGCATATATTATAAATATAGCTATTATAAATAATATAAGTATTATAAGTATACATATAATATAAATATAGCTATTAGGAATATAAGTACGACAAGTATATGTGTGTGTTTGTGTGTGTATAATATAAAATAGCTATTATAAATATTATAATAGAAATATGACAAGTATACATATAATATTATAAATATAGCTATTAGAAATATAACAAGTATGAGTATACATATATTATAAATATAGCTATTAGAAATATAACTATGGATACTTGTTATATTTATATTTCTAACAGCTATATTCATATTATATGTATACTTGTTATAATATTATAAGTAAAACAAGTATACATTTAATATTATAAATATAGCTATTAGAAATATATGACCAATGTGACATCTATAAATATATTATCAATATGACAAGTATATATTATAAATATAGCTATCATAAATATTATAATATCAATATGACATCTATAAATATATTATCAATATGACAAGTATTATAATATCAATATGGCAAATATAAATATTATAATATTTGCCAATTATGTTGTGTTAATTTTTTTTAAATTAAAGAATAAATTTTTAAAATAACCTTTGGAGGAAAACTTCGTATTTCCGCCGATAGGCAAAGCCGGCCCTGCGGACCCTCAGGTTCTCCATCAGCCCCAAGTACTTCACTTGATGCCGGATCAGGACTTCATCAAAGCGGCCTGGAAGTGGCACAGAAAGAGAGAATTAGCCATGGGCCTCACAGACACACACCCCCCCCCCCACACACACACACACACACACATGCTCACACACTCCTTTGGGGGCCAGACCCTTTCCTTTCCAGGGAGACCCACCCGGCTGCTTGGCGTCATTGGGCTTGATACAGCGGATGTAGGAAGGCTCCTTGGACATCAGGATCTCCATCAGCTTGGAGAGGCTGGTCTTGAACTGAGTCACCGCCTGCCAAGAAGGAAGAAGATTGACCAGCGTTGAGGCCAAGGGAGCTGCCATCAAAGTGACCAAGCCCTGCCCCTTTCTTGACCAGCAGACTCACCGTCTCCGGCCGCTTCTTGTCCGTCAGCTCCGTCCGGTCAAAGCATTGGGTGAGGATGGGGTTCTCCGAGTTGCACATGGCCTTTTGTTTTTTTGGAGGGGGGAACACAAGAGTTATGTGGAATCTCAAACACATCCTGCACAAGTTTATAGTCCTCATCAAGGAGACAGATACGAATCTAACATATACCATGCAGCTGCAGAGAAGTCTACAAAGGGACCTCCAAACGCACACGAATCGAGGAACATGAAAAGCACTGCAGACCAAGTCAACCAGAGAAGTCAGCCAGAGCAGAGCACCTGATGAACCAACCTGGGCACAGCATAGTATTGGAGAACACAGAAATGCTGGACCACTTTCACAACCACAGGAAGCCATTGAAATCCACAAGCACGTGGACAATTTCAATAGAAAGGAGGAAACCATGAAAAGGAACAAAATCTGGCTCCCAGTATTAAAAAAAACCTCCAGGCAGGAAACAATCAGGGCCAGCTAACACCTCCCAACAAAGGATTCCTCCAGGCAGAAACCAGCCAGGCTTTGAAGCTGCAAAGCTTTGCAATGCTAACATCCAAAAACAAACAAGATACAACAGTTGAGCATCTGCTCTTTAGCAAGCAGAGTGTGAAGTGCCATGTTATGCGGCTGTAAAGAATTCAGAGCTTAGGAGGCAAAGAGTCCAATCTTAAAAATTACAAAAGGTTTATTTAGAATAATAAGAAATAACTGCATTTCTTAATACCCAAGAACTGGGTCTGAGCTACTCTAGCACCCATCTAAGAATTCAAGAGAGGGAAAAACTCCATCACGACATCTCTCCTGACACACAGGCAGAGAGAGATCTCAAAGCACACAGCAAATAAGAAGGCAGATTCAAAAAGGTTTGCACTAGAAAAGTACCCATCTTAAACAGCCAATCAGAATCACACCAGAAAGAGAGAAAAGATATGGAAAAGATCCATCCCCAACTGTCATACAGGAGACAAGGGGGAAGGGAAACCTTCAGTCTATACCAGGCATGGGCAAACTTTCTAACTTAGGGGTTACATGCTAGAAGGACTGGCTGCTCATTGATGGAAGGAAGGAAGGGAAGGAGGAAGGAAAGAGAGAAGGAAGGGAGGAAGGGAAGAATGGAAGGAAAAGGGGAGGGAGGGAGGGAAGGAAGGAGGAAAAGGTGGAATGGGAGGGAGGGACAGATGAAGCAAGGGAAGTTCAAAGGAAAGAGAAGGAAAGAAAGACAAAAGGCAAGGAAGAAAGGACAAAAAGGTGGACGGGAAGGATGGAAGAAGAGGGTAAGGAGGAAGGAAAGACAAAAGGGAGGGAAGGACGAAAGGGTGGAAGGGAAGACAGAAGGAGGAACGGGCGGATGGGAWTGGAGGGAGGGAGAAAGAGGGATGAGAGGGATGAAAGAAAGAAGGAAGGAAAGACAAGGGAAGGAAGGAGAAGAGGAAGAGAGGGAAGGAAGGGTGGAAGGGAAGGAACAAGGGAGGGAGAAAGAGGGAAAGAGGAAGGAAGGGAAGGAGGACGGAAAAAGAAGGGAGGATGTGAAGGATGGATGGATGGAAGGAAGGGAATGGATGGCGGAGAAAAGACAAAAGGGAAGGAATGAAGGAGAAAGAGAGGGAAGGAGAGAGGAAAGGAGGAAGGACAAAAGGGTGGAAAGGAAACGAAAGGAAAGGAAAGGGTGATCAATGAGAGGAAGGCCTGAGAAAAAAGCCCAAGGGATTGCATCCGGGCCCCAGGCCTGAATTTGCCCATACCTATTCCTCACTGAGGACTAAACTGTTCCTCATTGAAGACTTCAGACTTGGGCAGTGTGGAGTTGAATCCCAACACTAATCAAGGTGATTAACTGCAACATTTACACTTGCCTCCAACAGACAAGAGTTCTTTCTCCCACCCGGGACCTCCCTTTCTTAGTTTCCAATATACCTCACAACCTCTGAGGACGTCTGCAATAGATGTGAGCAAAACATCAGGAGAGAATGCTTCTGGAACATGGCCAGACAGCACGGAAAACTCACAGCAACCCAGATAGGCAGATTAGTTGGCAGGGAAAAGGCTTTGCTTGAATTGCCCTCTATTCTCTCCTCCGATTTCTATTTATTTGACTAGGGGACGGGGACTGCTCACCTCTTTCAGGTTCCGGAAGAGGAGGTCGTTATTCTTGTCCAGGAAACCTAGGCAGAAAGCAAAATAAGGGGGTCAAAAGGTGGCCAGAGGAGGGTCGTTGTTGCACTCCAGAACAGGAACACCACAACAGCTTGGTAAAATCAGCAAGCTGTTAATTGAAGAATATATGTAGGCAAGGCAGTAAAAATGGTAAAAACAGTATAGTCCCAAGATAAAGAATAGTCCATGAGCTTCAAGACACAAAGGTAAAACACAAGATCCAAGGGTACAAAATCCATAGAACAAGACAGAATGAAAATCCAATACACAGACCAGGAGCCTGGCAAAACTTGGTACATGAAGCTAGGAATACTTGGAAACAAGACTGTCATGAAATTCCAGCACTGACGAGACTGAGCTAACGCTTTCCCTTGTATCAATATAAAGCTTTTCCTGTCCCCAGAACTGAAAGGAAAGCATTTCTCTTGCCCTTACAACCAGATAAGGGTTTCTTATCTCTCTTTTCCTGCAGATGAATTGAACTTTGTTGCACCTGAGAACTTTGCCTGTTTACAAAAGTCTTGCTTTCTATCTCCACTATCATTAAATTCTGCACCTGACATATCATTCTCAGAAGATGGTTTCTCAGCGAAAGACTGTTGAGGGCCCCTCCCAGGAATGTGACCTTGTAAATCTTCCTGAGACACCTTGGGCCTCTCACCTGGGCTTAACTCAGGCCCAGGCAAACGCTCATCCCCATTGCCAACAGACCCAGACCCAGGAAACGCTTCATCCCATTCCCACCATAAACATTAGACACAATCACAGGCTGAACTACAACAGTCGAGGGGACAACATGGCCGACGAGGAGGCCCCTTTTGAGGTGCAAGGCCTACCTGCCACGCTGTAGTTGACCTCTCCCGCATAGTGCAGCAGGCGGAACTCCTCCCGGCCCAAGTTCTTTCGCGTCTTGGCGTCAGCCAGCTTGTGCCTATAGAGAAGTCGCCACAGAGGAAGTCAGAGATGGACGCTGCCAGGCCAAGCCCAACAGGAGACTTAACTGACCAGTCCAGCAAAGACCCTGCCCTTTCCTCCCCTCCGGATGCAGAGAGGATGCTCCCAGGCTCACGTCAGGAAGTGCGGGTGGCTCCTGATGGTCTCCTCCAACTTCTCCAGGAACGTGGCATCTGTGGCATCTCCAGGCCGCAAGCACTCCTCATCCTGCAGAAGAGAGGAAGACCATGGTGCATAGGAAGGGCCTTAGTGGTCACCGTGGAAGCTTCTTTAGGGATCTACCTCACAGGCTGTTCTCCTCCCTTCTTTCCTTCCTTACCAAAATGGCAATGATGCCCTTGAACTTCTCTTCCACCAAATCGCAGATGATCTTGTTGTTGAAATACGGGACCGTCTCCCACTGAGAGGAAGAGGACAAGGATCAGAGTTGGAGGGAAAGAGGACCCAGGAACTCTGGAATGGTTGTTCTTCCCAAGCCCCATTTCCCCTTCCATATAGAACAGCATTTCTCAACCTGGGGGTAACGAGGGGGTTTCAGAGGCGTCACCAAAGACCATCAGAAAACATATATTTCTGATGGTCTTGGGAACCCCTTTGGCAGAGAAGGCTGAAGATCCCTCCACCTGTCCTTCTCTTCCTTTTTGGAAACAGACGGTGAATCCTCCCACAAAAAGCCCTCCTCTGCAGTGATTGAACAGCCTCTCAGCCAAGGGGAGGGCTGTTTCTGAGATACCAAGCAGGGAGGGGACAGCAGGCGTGCTTGGCACATGGAAGCGTAATGCGCATGTGCGGGCAAGGGAGAGCATGGAAGGCTGGAGGGAGGCTCGCACCGGCAAGTCCCTTCAAGACATGGAGGTTTTGTGTACCAAGTTAGGCCCAATTCTATCGTTGGTGGGGTTTAGAATGCTCTTTGTAGCTTAACTATAAATTCCAGCAACTACAACTCCCAAATGTCAATGTTTATTTTCCCCAAACTCCACCAGTGTTCACATTTGGGCATATTGAGTATTTGTGCCAAGTTTAGTCCAGATCTAGTATTGTTTGAGTCCACAGTGCTCTCTGGATGTAGGTGAACTACAACTCCTAAACTCAAGGTCAACGCCCACCAAACCCTTCCAGTATTTTCTGTTGGTCATGGGAGTTCTTTGTGCCAAGTTTGGTTCAATTCAATCATTGGTGGAGTTCAGAATGTTCTTTGATTGTAGGTGAACGATAAATCCCAGCAACTACAACTCCCAAATGACAAAATCAATCCCCCCAACCCTAGCTGTATTCAAATGTGGGTGTATTGAGTATTTGTGCCAAATTTGGTCCAATGGTTGAAAATACATCCTGCATATCAGATATTTACATGACGATTCATAATAGTAGCAACATTACAGTTATGGAAGTAGCAACGAAAATAATGTTATGGTTGGAGGTCACCACAACATGAGGAATTGTATTAAGGGGTCATGGCATTCGGAAGGTTGAGAAACACTGCTCAAGAGGTCAATGGTTCTCACCGCGATGCCCTCTGCCTCATATTCCTCCTGCTCCGACTTCAGGGTCAGTTCGATGAAGAGCTGCTGCAGCTTCTCATTGCAGTAGTTGATGCAGAACTGCTCAAAGCTGTGGAAGAAACAGTAGGAAGTTCAGCCCCACGTAATGAGGGATATTTTGTTTTGAGTGGGGTCACCTTTTGACCCTTGGGGAAGGCAATGTGTGGCCTGCAACATGAGCAACGCACCTGTTGTGCTGGAAGACCTCGAAGCCGTAGATGTCCAGCAGACCCAGAACAGAGCAGCTTCTCCTCCACCCCAAGAGCTCCGTTTCCTACCAAAAGGAAAGCAGACTGAGCCCAACGTGGAACGAACCTTGACCCTCAAGCCATTCCTGCTTGCCTCCCTCCTTCCTTCCAAGGCCCGGCTGACCACTGACCTTGTACTCCAAGGACCGGTTGATCTTGTTCACCAGCCAAGAGAAGGTCCGACCATAAATGGCCTTAGCCAAGGCATCACGCGCGTAGGCCGCCTGCTCCAGATTCAAGGGGCTGACCAGCTAAAAGGCCGTAAGAGGTTCGTCGGTTAGTCAGTTGCCCATCTGCCCAGAATGGAGCCCCTCCCTGTGCCACCTTGGCCCTCACCTCTTCTCCCTTCGCAATGATCTTCTTGTGAGTCAGGGCTTCCCGAAGAAGAGCGCTCTCCACCCCCAGGAGCTGCAGGAGAGAAGGCCGTCACCCTAAAGCATGGCGTACCCGTAGTCCTAACGTCAGATCATTCTAATTTTATTTATTTATTTATTTACTATATTTACACCCCACCCACTCTCACCCCGAAGGAGACTCAGAGCAGCTTACAAGTTATATGTACATACACGATATTATATTATTAGCATAGCCTGATATTAACATATATTACTATATTGTACTATACCACCATACTGCCATATTATTAGTAATATTACATGTAATATATAATATTGTATTATTAGTAAATTATATTACAGTATTATGTACGTACAATATATTATATTATTCATTTAGTACAATATTAGCATTATATATTACTATATTGTACTATACCACTATACAGCAATATTATTAGTCATATTACATGTAATATATAATTATATTATTATATTGTATTATTAGTATATTATTTTACAATATTATGATCAATATTATATGTACATACAATATATTATTAGCATAGCACACTATTGGTATTATATATTACTATATTGTACTATACTGCAGTATTATTAGTAATATTACATGTAATATATTTACTATCTTTTAACCCTTCCTTGCCCTCTCTGGATGCTCACTCACCCGCGCCAAGTACTTGATCTGGCTTTCTGTGGTCACTTGTGCACTGCCCTGTTCATCGGCTGCAAACTGGACGTTGCCCAGGTGCAGGACGCTGGCCACAATACTCAACAGGTCCTACTCCGGGGGAAAAGGAAGAAAGAAAGGGAAGGGCAGAGCGGTCAGTCCAGAGGCTGCAACAGCAGCAGCAGCCCAGGGGTCCCCGAGGTCTCCTTCCTTACCTCTACTTCATTATCGGTGAAGTTAATGACCGTGAGGGCCTTGCGCACCACCTTCCAGTCACTCTTGTCGTTGATGGAGCTCACCTTGGCGCACTGGCCCTGCAAGTGACAGGAAGGAGGGAGGGACAAGTAGGGATGGGGGCGGGGCCTGCTCAAGCCCCTCCTTCCTCTTTACCTGAGATGACCCTGTTTGGGAGTGTGGGGGAGGGGGAGCACCCACTTTACCTTGACCAGGAAGTGGTACTGCTGGGGGCTCCTCTCCAGACCCAGCCTCCGGAGCAAGTCGTCCTGGCCKCCCTCCAGCAACTGGTAGAAGATGTGGAAGTTCCTCTCWCCGTGGTTTTGGTGCACCACTCGTGACTTCTCCAGCAGGTAGTTCAGGATGTGGCCCCCGATGGGAGCCCCCTGGGGAGGGCACAAGGAAGCAGGATTGAACAAATGGGGACCCATGTCATCTGGTGCATCTAGGAAGAAGAAGAGGAGGAGGAAGAAGAGGGGAAGAAGAAGAAAAAGAGGAGAAGGAGGGGAAGAAAAGGATGAAAAAGCGAGGAGGAGRAGAAGGAGGGGGAGAAGAGGAGGAGAGGAAGGAGGAAGARAAGGGGGAAGAAGTGGAGGAGGATGATAAGGAGAGGAAGAAGGGGAGAAAGAAGAGAAGGAGGGAAGAAGAGGAAAGGAGGAGGAGGAAGGGAAGGATGGGTAGAAGGGGAGGAAAAAGAGGAGGAGTAAATGGAGGAGGAGAGGAAAAGGAGCAGAAGAAGAGGAAAAAGGGGGAGGAAGAGAAGAAGAGAAAAAGGGAGTATAGGGACAAGGAGGRGAGGAGGAGGAGGGGAAGAGAAGGGGAAGAGAAAGTAGAAGAAAAGAAGGGGGAGAAGAGGAGGAAAAGAAGAGRGGAAAAAGAAGAAGGGAAGGGGAAAGAAGAGGAGGGGAAGGAGGAGGGGAAGAAAAGAAAGAGGAGGAGGAGGAGGAAGAGGGACATGGCAGCAAAAATGCTCCCCCACCCTCCTAGAGACCTCAGCCTTCTTCTTCTCCACTTGAAAAGATCACCGCCCCCGCCCGGCTTGCCCACAGACCCACCTTGTAATCAAACTGGACGTCCATATACTTCCCAAAGCGACTGGAGTTGTCATTCCGCAGGGTCTTGGCATTCCCAAAGGCCTGGAGAAAGGGCAGAGGGAGGCAATGTGAGCATCCGTGGGGCAACGAGGGCAAGGCCTGCTTAGCCTCCCACGCTCCCTCTGGATGCCCTCACCTCCAGGACTGGGTTGGACTGCAGGAGGCGGTCCTTGACGGTCTCGACCTGCTCGCTGGCTGGACAGGTGACGGCGTAGTACTGCAGCACCTTCTTTGTGGCTTCCGTCTTGCCTGCCCCACTCTCCCCGGAGATCAAGACGCACTGGTCCCTTCTCTCTGTGCGCAGAGAGCGGTAGGCGTTGTCTGCAATGGCGTAGCTGGAGTGGAGGGGGAGGAGGGGTCACTCGGAATCAAGATTGGGGGGGGGGATTGGGGCAGGTGGAAGAGGCCTCCCAGGGCCATGTTTCCCCCCTTGAAACAACACTTCTGTTCCCATAGTCGTATCATGTTTGGGAAGTCAAGGCCTGCCTATCAACACTAATCTAGATGTTGACATTCAATCCCACACTGCCCAAGTGTCTAGTCCTCAATGAGGAGCAGTTAGTTAGTTTAGTATTGGCTGAGGGGATTCCCTTCCCCCAGCTCCGTCTTTCGTGAAAGCACCAGACTCTCAGTCTCAGATTAAATGGACAAATATCCTGAGCTTATTTTGCTGATACACAATGGTTCTAATAGTTACCTGGCTTGGGAAATGGCTGGAGGGATCCTGACCATAGTCCCCTTTCCCAAGGAATTATGTAAACTAGGTATGACAGTTGTGAATGTATCTATTTACTCTCTCCTCTCTCACTCTGATTGGTTGTTTAAAATTGATACTTTTCTTCTGCAAACCCTTTTTAATCTGATTTCTGCCTTCTTACACTTCAGTATGGAGAGTATGTGCTGTGTGCTTTGAGATCTCTCTCTACTTGTGTCAAGAGAAATGCAGTGATTGAGTTTTTCCCTCCCTTGAAACCTTAGAAGAGATGGATGTTAGAGTAGCTCAGACCCAGTTCTTAGTTACTACAAAATACAGTTATTTCTCATTATTGTAAATAAACCTTTTGTGACTTTTTAAGATTGGACTCTGCATCTTTGCCTTCTAAGCTCTGAATTCTTTACAGCCACATCACACTCTGCTCGTGAATGAGCCGGCGCTCAACTTTTTGTATCCTGTTTGTTTTTGGATGCTCTGCTTATCATTTAGGGTAGTTTTCCCTAACATCTAGTTCCTTGATGAGGACTATAACCTTGGGCAGGATGTGCATGGCAGTGACCAGTGCCTGAGCTCCAGCTGCGGTGTGTTTTTTCAATCGAAATGGAGAAGGACATTCTCTCCAAGCTGAGCAAACAAAAAAGTATTTCCAAGATTGGTTCCTTAGCAACCTGGGAAATGCTGGGCAAACGGAGCAGGGAAAATTCCATTCTTCTTCCTCCCTTCCTCAGACAGACACACATTTTCCAATGCCTTGGCTCTGGGTGCGGCTTTGCTTAAACACTCACAGGTGAGGGGAGACTTCGTAGAAGCTGACCCCTCGGTAGCGGTCCATGTGCTGCTTGCTGTAGATCTCCAGCTCCTTGTAAGGGTTGACCGAGACCAGGACGGAGCCAATGTAGGTCTAAGGGGGGGGGGGGGGGAGGAAACAAAGGGAGTCGGATGAGGGTCCAATGCCAAAGGGAGCTCCCCCCAGCCCTAAGAGGAGAGGACGGCACTCACATAGATGAGGTTCTCCTTGAAGCGCTTGCGCAGGTTCTCGATGAAGGCGGCTTCGCTGGTGAAGTTCTCCAAGAGGACAAAGTCCTGGACCCCGACCCGGTCACGGGCCGTTAAGGCGCTCTCCATCTCCAGGCGGACCCCCTCACTGCCCACCGTGGCCTGGGAGGAAGGACATGGGGGGCAATATGAGTAAGGAGTGCGGCCCCATCTCACAGAATGATGCAGAGCATCTTGGAACAACTTCCACCGGACCTGACAAGACTTGAGGAGCTTCTTTGCCGAAGAAGGCATCTTAGACACTTGCCCTGACTCTTACTCCCAAAGGATCCCCAAGCTCCCCTCAACCTCTGAGGATGCCTGCCATGGGCAAAACGTCAGGAGATAATGCCTCTGGAACATGGCCAGACAGCCTGGAACACACAGCAATCCAGAACCTCAAGCTCTTCCCAAGGTGCCGATGTGTGTTTATGGGAGGGGGATCTTACCTCATGGTGGGGTAGGTGGTACCCCATGGGGATGAGGCCCCTTTTCTGCTGGATTTGGGCCCACAGGCCCTCCAACCTCAAGGGCTGCATGGCGAGAAGACTGAGCAGCCACCGCCCTTCCTTGCAGGTGCCAGGGAAGAAACGACCCAGGTGCTGCTCCACCTGAAGGGGCATCTCCTCCCCCAAGAAAACCCCAGAGGGAAAGAGAGGGAGGGAAAGGGAAGGGAAGAGGCACCTGTGTCCCTCTCTGACCCCTGGGCCCATATGTTGCCTCCCTATCGCTTTGTATTTCAAAGGCTTGAAAAATACCCCACTTGGCATCTTTGAAATGGTTGAACAGAAGCTCTCCGAAGCTTTAGGTGCTCTTTAGGTGGATGAAAAAGGGAAAGCGGCATTGGCATCAGAACCAATTCAAATACATCAACAGGCCAATTGGGAATTATTTAGAAACTTATTATTATTATTATTATTATTATTATTATTATTACTACTACTACTACTACTACTACTACTACTACTATGCTGATGATCGTGCCATCACCGCCCAAGCATGGAGCTTTGAAATGGTTGAACAGAAGCTCTCTGAAGCTCTAGGTGCTCTTACTGCTCATTACAGGGAAAGCCAGTTGATTCCTAATCCATCTAAAATGCAGGCGTGTGCTTTTCACCTTAAGAACAGACAAGCATCCCAAGCTCGGAGGATGACCTGGGAAGGAGCAATGCAAATACCTGGGAATCATTCTGGACTGTGCTCTGACTTACAAGAAGCACTGCTTCAATATCAAGCAAAAAGTGGGCGCTAAAAATAATATCATACAAAAGCTGACTGGCACAACCTGGGGTTCACAATCAGACACAGTGAAGACATCTGCCCTTGTGCTTTACTACTCTGCTCCTGAATACACATGCCCAGTGTGAAAAACACACCACATTAAAACAGTGGTGAGACATGCCGCATTATCACAGAATGTCTACGCACAACACCACTGGAGAAATTATATTGTTTAGCCAGTAGTGCACCACCTGACATCTGTTGGAAAGTAGCAGCCAATAATGAAAGGACCGAGGTAGTGACATCTCCGGCCTATCCTGTGTTTGGATATCAGACAGCAAGCCAACACCTTAAATCAAGAAATAGATTCCTGAGATCTTCAGAGATACTTGCAGGAACAGCTCAGCAAGCAAGAGTCCAAAAGCGGCAGGCTCAATCCCAGAACCTCAACCAATGGCTGACACTAAATGAGAGACTCCCTCCTGGGCACACAGAAGACTGGGAGACTTGGAAGGCGCTGAACAGACTGTGCTCTGGCACAAGATGCAGAGCCAACCTTAAGAAATGGGACCACAAAGTGGAGTCCACGACATGCAAGTGTGGAGAAGAGCAAACCACAGATACAGCCTGAGCCTTGCCACATGCACCTTCTTATAGTGACACCAGGGGCACTCCAAATGGCCAGTTTCTGGTTAAAGGACATTATATCTTTGTGAAGTCAAGATGCAGGCGTTGTGCAGAATTTGCTAACTTGTAAACATTTCCAACATGGCTGGAGGGAGACGTCAACTCAGCCGCAAGTAACTTTGCTTACTGAATGGAGGAAAGGGGGAAAGAATGCCCACCATGGCTGCATCCAAATGCAAGGAATCAGGGCTGACCCAGATTCCCCCACCCCCATCCCACTGCCCTTCCCATAGACACCCAAAGGCAATGCCCGGCCAGGAGGCCGCCTGACTCAGCAGCAGCGCCAGCCCAGGGAGCCTCATGCCTCCCCCACAACCAACAGCCATGCTGTCACTTTCCTTTTAAGGAGAAAAATAGTTTTCATGGGAAAAGTGAACAGTCCCATGCCTGTGGCTGCTGCTGGAAGTGTTCCTTGCTAGAAAGGCATCTCCAAGGGAGAGGCAGAAACGGGCTTGGCTGCCCTAGTGACCCACTGTGCCCCATCGGTTATTTGTTAGGGGGGGGGGAAGAATGGGCTGATTTGCTTTCCTCAAACGTCCCAAACAAGCGGGGACCCCAGCTATGGACACGCACACACATACATGTTGAGCAAGTGGGCTTAATAACAGAAGACCCTCCTCTAGGTTTCCATAACACAAATAAACAAATACATAGTAGCTTTACGCACAGCAGCCTTCACACGGGAGCTTTCTCACATGAGGCTTCTCTCACACAGAGGTTTACCTCACACTCCTCGGGACGACACTAGCTTTGGCCCACTAACCCTAACAGGCTTTGGCTTACTCACTCTTTCAGTGCTTGACTCACACTCACAAAATAATATGGTTGCACTATTTATAAGAACTAGGTTTCCATAAAACAAATAAACAAATAAATAAATAGTAGCTTTATGTGCAGCAGCCTTCACACTG